CATGCCTGGGAATTCGCTCTTGTGCAATTTCAACCATGCACTGCTGCCATCGCTCAGCTTCTCGATGTTCAATAAATGGCTTACGCATTCCACAGCAAATGGCCAAAAACATGGTGGTAGTCCGGCTTCTAGAAGGCATGTCGATGTGGTAAGCATCAGGAACTGATTGTTTCTCTCGGCGAGTGAATTGTTCTGGGGATGTCCTGGAAGCGACTGGTCTAGTGGAATCCGGAGTTCCTTGAGTGCTGATTCGAATTGTGGCGCATCATCCGAGTAAGCGTTGGTGACCTTTCTCTTACCGATATAGTGCTTCATTGCCTGCACCACTTCGTCACTATTGCTTGCTTTCAATGGGTAACCCCATATCACACCAGTGAACCGATCTCGAATCACCAATATGTCCTTATCCGGCATGATCCCGTCTCTCGCCATCTTCTGAGTGTTCATGAGATCGAAAGTGATAAGGTCACCGAATGCCTTCAATTTCCGTTTGAAAGCTCCCTTGCTAGTCTTGTAGTGCTTCATCTTTGCTCTCACACATGACTTGCAGTATGGGTTCTTGTATCGGTGCGTCATCAAGTGCAATATGGATTTCGCCTCGTTCTTCAGCACTCCTGGTTTTGATAGTCTGGTTTCCCCGTCAACCACATCGACTTCCAATAGTCCCTCTTCATCTTCATCAATGTCACTCTCCCCTCGTTCAGAATCCGCATCACCTCCATGTTCGTCGCCTCCGGCTTCTTCAGGTTGACCTTCGTGATCACGATCGAATCTCGGGTCTTCCCCGTCATATTCCTCTTCAGGAGAATACCTGTCATCACCGTGTTCCTCTGGTTCTCCTTCGACGCCTGCAACAGCTGGATTGATATCAGATTCACCATCCTGACCTTCCTGGTTATCTTTCTTCTTTCTCCTCCGTCTCCGTGGTTTCTTGGGCGGAAGTTCCTCTTGTTGTGTCTCCTGACCTGTTGTGACCTCGTCTTCATGCCCCACACCTGACAGTATGCGATGAAGTATCGTAGCCAAGCCGTCTGGTCTTGGTAAACATCTCCCGTCATCATCATTCACCTTGATGTAGGGTATGTTGTCATGCACCGATAGCGGAATCTTGTTCGCGTTCTGGTCGATGAGGTATGGCAATTGATTTGCCGGCCATATGAATGAGTACCCTTGTTCCATGCACCGTTTCCCGATGGAAAAGACTGATGGTGTGCTTTCCAACACGTGTGCCTCAGACCTCATGGGTAGTTCGTCCACATTGATGTCCACCATCTCTGATGTACTAGTTACACCATTCGCTGTCATGAAGCTCACGGATTTGGGTCCTTCCTTGGTGGTAAGGCCCATGGCATTGACTTTCTCTCTTGAGATCAAATCGTGTCCACATCCCGTGTCCATGATGAAGCGTATTGGTGGTCCATCATACCTCTCCACAGCCATGAACATCGTGGTTCCTGGTATCGTGTAGTCGACAAAATCCTTCCTTACTACCTCTCTGGTGTTGAAATCAGACAGGTCGACGTTAACCTCGATTCCTTCATCTTGAGTGATTTGTATCCATGCCTTGGCAATGTGTTCAGCATAGAATAGCTCCATCATCTTACCTTTGGCATGTGCTACTCGTGCAGCTATGTTGCTCACTCTGAGGGCTCTCAACGACGAAATGAGCTCGGTATCCACCTTCTGCACCTCATTCCTCTTCTTCCTGAGGGGACGGTTGTTTAGCTCATTACCAGGATCGCAGGTGAACGTGGTCACATTCGCCTGGTCATCGAATCTGACTTTAAAGCGAAGCGCCAGCTTACCTTGTTGTACGTTGGGAAGTGCGGGTTGTACGTCCTCGTCATCACTCTCGATGTCTCCGCAAAGCATGAAGGCTGGCGCAGCCGGTTTGGGCTTGGCTTTGCCTCTAGCCTCTTGTTTTGTAGCAGGAGCAGCGTGATGCTGACGTCGACATTTGTCCCCGAACTTGCACGATCCTTTCTGCCAATTCCAACAGACCTGATCCTTCATTGGCTTAGGGCTACTGCTCCTGCCACCGGGACTCTTAGATCTGTCACCCTTGAGGTTTTCTGGTTTCTTAGCAGAACTCTTGTGCTTCTCTTGGTGACTAAACTTGCATTTGTCTCCTCTAGAACATCCGTTTTTCCCATGGAAGTGGAAAGCGCATCCTATCTTGGACGTATCTGCTGGAGTCGCTGACCTGCCACGATCCCCTTTTGGGCTCTTCGTGGTTGATCTTCCACGATCCTGCTTCTTGTCCTTCTTGTTGTGGTCCTTCGGATTAGCCTGAGGAAGTACTGGAGCGGCGTCATGTTTCGGTGGATCGGTCTTGGTATTCTTGGGTTTCGCTTTAGGGTCCTTCTTCTCCGCCGCTGGTGTGGCTTTCACGATGTTCCCAAAAGCTTTTTCCCTTTCTTTCTTGTTTGTGGTCTCAATTGATTTCCGTATCCACTTCGACATGATCTCTCGTAACTTCTGGTAGGTCTTATCCGGATCCTTATCCAACATGTTGTCGTACACAGACAAGTCTAACGCCATAACTTTGGAATCCTTAATCTTATCCCAAAGCAGGTTGCGAAGTGCTTTGTCAGGAAGCATGTCATCCGCATCCATACCTGATATGATCTCATCCCACTGTCCAAGGAATCTGGATAGTTGATTATCCCCAGGGAACTTTAGATCGAATAAGTGCTTGGATGCATACATCACATCAACGTTGTCGGCACTCCGGAAACTATCGACGATCAACGCTAACATTTCTCGTCCCTTGACCATTCCAGGAATTGTGCCTCTCGCACGTCTCTGCATCATCTGTCTCACCTTCAGTTGTACGTCATGAGATCTCTCACCTGCTGCGTGGATGATCGTATGTAGGGTGATACCTAGCTTAGCGTCTATGCTAGCGAATCTTGCTTCGCCTGATGTCTCGAGTAGAAATGGGTCATATGGTGATCTGAAGGCATCCGAGAGCCATTGGATCCAGTCTTCTTGTTTCTCGTCGCCCGATGCCGTCACGACTGCCGCTACAACCTGGGATTTCCAAACCTCCAGGTCGTGTATCTTGGGCCATGCAGGGATGTTGATCTTCTCGTGTTCCTTCCGAGATATCTTGGAGCCGCCTGAGCCAGAGGATGAAGCGGCACCATGTTCGGTTGCGGCTGCATTCTCCGCACTTGTGCGCTCCTCTTCGTACCTCTTCCGGTACTTATTCCTCTCATCTCTGAGCCGTGATGCATGCGCTTCGAATTCCATCATGTCCTGTTGGTTCTGCATCATACCTTCGTAGTACTCAATTGCCTCTTTCTCCTCGGACCTTAATAACTTTTCAGTACGTTCAAGTTCCGCTCTAAGCTTGGTCATCATCTCATTCTCCACACTGGGTTCTGATCCCATGTCTGGTGGTTTCAACTTCAGTGCGACCTTCAATTGTGCTTCACTTGCGCTTGATTCGATCAATTCTTCCTGAAGACGTTTCAGCATCCTCTCTTTACGTAGAATGTCCTCTTCCAACATGTTCACCTTGGCTTCGGCCTTCTTGAGTTCGGCGCTAGATGGTTGAAACGGTCGATCGGATCCTTGAATCCTCGTCTGAGTCAACTCCTCGTTCGCCTTCTTCAATTGCTCTCTGATGCTCAAGATGAACTTGTCCTGAGTATTAGATCGGTTGTTGAGCTCCTCATTCTCTTCTGATAACCATTTGATCTTGCTTGCATACATTGCTTCCCTCATCTTCATCTCTTCAGCATATTCGTGTTTGTTTCTGGCACTCTGCCTCTGTAGTCCAACTAACTCCTGTCTACACAGATCCTTGACGTTCTCAGCATCTGCGATTGTAGTCATGACCTCGGTTACGGCTCGATCTCTTTCCGCCGATATAGCCTGGATCTCTTCCGTGCCGATGTTCACAACTTGACTAACCATCTCTGCGCTGTTGCGATCAGCGTACTCCCCTAACTGGGTGAGACGATCCCGCATTGCCACACGATCAGTGTCCATCTGGTATTGCAGGTCGTGTGCTGCTGAGAGCAAACAGTCTCTGGATTCTGTAAGTTGGGTGATTCTTCGTTGATTTCCATATCCTTCGACATAACATTCTTCGAGGTGTGCCATCACTACTTCGTGGACTTCGGTCTCGTGTTGTATAATCTGGTTCTGTCTCTGCTCACATTCGACCATCCATGCGTTTTGGTGGTTCAACATATGCACTTCGGCAAGTAGTTGCGCAGCGCACACTTCGCATTCAGGTCTCCATCGGCCCGTGCTAGTTGTAGGTTGTCAGTGCTTGCCCTTGCTCGATCTCCAGCTTCGCTGTCCGACGGCACTGGTACAGCTGACCCATCCTGCAATGCTAACACTCTCACAGCTCCGGTGTCAGTCCTCCTCCTTGTCTCCCTAGGGCTACGGCCTGATCTCGGTGTCCCCCACGGTGGTGTCGAGTGCGCTGACGGGGAACGACTTCGTGCTCTACCTGTCGCATCTTCTCTCACCGCTGTCAGAGTCTCCACTTCGATCGTACCTGGACTAGAGTTGTGGGATGCACTCATCCGATCTGCGGCCGCAGCAGCTGCTCCAAAAGATGCAGTGCTGGCGTCGGATTGGTCCATCTTCAGTGACTGAGGGTAACTGGTCTATCCGATGCGTGTGCGTTTAGATGGTGTTGTGTAAGGCCGCAGCTCGTACCCAGCTCAAAGGAGTCTGGATACGGCTGATAACCTGCGAACGGATGGAAAGGTGTGCCCTGGCCCCGTTCTAGCTCTTAGGTCAACATGAAGCTCGCGCGCTAAAGCTCCTTTTTACCTGGTTGGGCACTTGAGCCAAAATGTATATGGCATGTACCTGTATAGCGACTATACTGGGACCCGATCCCTATTGACAGTTATTGAACTCTGACAGGAACCATTGCTCAATTGGCACCAGTCCTCCATGAGCTGGGGGTTCGGATGGGTTCGGGCTCCCCATCACAACAAGGACTCCGACCAAACGAAAGGCTCAGGCTCCTGTGCTTGCTGCGCAGCATGCATGGCAGCAGGGTCCCAACTACTACGTCCTCCCAGCCGATGCATCCGATCGGTCATGCTGTTTCTCTCCTATTCTGCCTTCGATTTATCACAGAAATGCGCCAAATCTCATGTTCCTAAAAAGGCTATGCTGCTGCCTGGTTTTTGTCTGTATAGAACTGTCTGACACACCTGGCTACAACATGCTACAAGTAGAAACCCTCAACCATCACTAACGCCTGTCACCACAACAACTCTACCACAGTGTCGTTCCCCAAACAAAACAGAAAAGGACCAACACCAAAAAAACACTGGAATACATTCACTCGCACAGCGCCCCACTCTCCAAAAAGAACATGCCCAAGTTGAAACGTCCGCTCCTGTGATGGTATCAGAGCCATAGCCCACGCCCTTGGCCCAGCCGCCTGCGCGCTCCGGCTCTCCTGCTGTAGCGGCAGCGGTGCTCGTGCCGTGGACTGTGCTGTGGACCGGATCCAGGCACGAGGATCACCCTCTACCAGGCTTGGGCTGTGGGGAGAGGGCAAACTCCGTCATGGTACGTCCAGCTAAATCAAAATCATGACCGCTGCGGCGCAGCGTGCCGTCCACAAGGGTTTGGCACTTGACCACAACAGTGGCGCACAGTGGAACCGATAGAGATCCACCAGGATTGGGACCGACCACTTAGTTGCTATATCCCGTGTGACACAAACTCAGTGGCATCCTTCCACCCGAACAACTCGCAACTCCCTCCTTCGCCGGTCTGCGCTGGGCTTCTCTTTCCTGTCGGTGGGAGAAGTCACGCGGGCGACCTTCGCCAAGGAGGCGAAGGGCCGCAAAAGCCCTTGAGATAGCCTCCTGCGGTACCAAACCCTTGGCCAAAGGGAGCTTCACCTGGTTTGGTAGACTAGCCGTCTAGCTCAATCTCTGCTGAAGAAACGATTCCCGCAAGGCTCATGATAACAATGTGAACCTCGAGGAGGGCATCGCTTCATGGTCGAGACGTTCGAGGGAGCTCGGGTTCACGAGCAAAACCGTTGGTTTTCTTGATTTCAGCCCCATCCAGTGAGCGGATGTTGTTCTGGGTGCATCCTATCCTCCAAAGTTAGGCACCCTGACATGGAACTGGATTATTCGACGTGGAAGTGGGTTATGGGGTGCAATTATTGCTGTATTGGTTTCTGCGTTATGAAGCCGAAACTGAATGCCTCTCAAGGTCTGCCATTTGTGAACTGCCGATTGGCAAGGCAGCATCCCAAGCTGCTTGGCTGGACCACGTGATGAAAGGACCACCACATCACGACTCATGGACCTGAACCTACTTCTACGTCCAAAAAAGTCCACAACCCTCGTGGTAAGAGCCAAAACCCCTGAAAAAACAGGTCTTTCCAAAAAAAATGGGTGGGGGGGATCAAAACCACTGGCTCCTCCGATTTGGGGAGAGTCTCCGACCCCGCTCGGCCGCGTGTGTCCGCTCGGCGTGTCCCGGCTCCACGCGTGTCGGACCCGCCCCCCGGACCCGACCTCCCAGCGCGCCGAAGCACGAGGCCGCCAGCTCGGAGCTCCTGAGATGGACGAGTTGGGCCCGGCCACGCGGAACCGCTCCGGAGGGCCGCGGAAGAGCACGGCGCACGGGGCGGGGTGGAAGGGGGTGGGCAACACCACCATTTCCCGGTTCGCCTGGGAATGAGAAGGGGATGGGTCACAGCTGGTGGAACTGGGAATTCTGGATTTCCCTAAACTGGAAGAACAGGGACTGGACTTCTTGGGATTTCTTGATTTCTTGGGATTTCTGAGGCTTCCTGGGATATGATTAGGAGTGAGAAGCCTGAGATTCCTGGGGCCCGTTTCACACGTCCGCTCTCCACACACGGATCCGAGCCAAGCGGCTGAGCCCAGGGGTCATCCTCGCGATGAGAAGGGGGGTGTGTATTTTTACCATGGGATGCACCCCATGTGGAGTTGTTGTCTTCTTCTTCAAAGGTCTTTGGGAGGTCTTCTATTGGGTGTTGATGTGTTTTCCTTCCTCTAGTGGGGGTTCAAATTGGGAGGTCCCCCCATGTGATACGAGTTGGAAAGACTCCCCGGGTTGTCCTAGTTAGGATGTGGCAGGAGGCCCCGTGCTGCTCGCTCGAACTTCTCTGTGAGGGATGCGGATTGACTAGCCAGTTGAGTCATGTAAGGTGCTGGTAGGTTGGTTTAGATCAATAATAGTATTACAGTATTTACAGTATCTATAAAATGTGTCTTTCAGTGGATACTTGTGCTTCACTTGGGTCTATCCTATTCCTGGTTAGTAAAGGCCTTCCTCTAAAATCATGCTAATTGTTTACCACCTGTGACAGGTAAGTTCAGACACCCCCAATGCTTCAGTGCTTTGCCCCCAGGGCGGTTGAGCTAGCCACTCAACCAGTTTCTTCATTAAAAACCAACCGTTCCAAAACGTGTTCCTTCTGTTTGAAGCTTCCCACATACGACTCAAAGTCCCGTTCCACCAAGTGACCCGGCTGGTCACAGGTGCCCCATGTCTTGCCGGGTTTCCGTCCGTGCTCGAGCGGAAAGCTGAATCAACGACCATCCTCTTTCCGATGGAGTGAATTCCGACGGATCCATGCCTCATGTCTTGTGGCAAACGATTCCCATATGTCCACTGAGCCCCATTCCTTCGGTTCCCACGATGGATCAATGCGCCAGTGCCATCGTGTTCCATCCTGTTCGCCGAAGAGGCTCCGCTTGGCCGCCTTCTTGGGGCCACAACGACGACGTCTTTGCGTCTCAAAACCCCCAAAAACGAACTCCTCGAGCCGCGTCCGACCGGCAGGACGGACGGCCAACGCCTCGTAGGCGTTGCCCGGCACGTCCACCTGCAGCTGTTGAGGCTTGATGCCTCGAAGCCGTTGCAGTTGCGCCAGGCGCTGCTCCAGCGGGCTGAAGGCGCCCTGCGCGGGGGAGCGAAGCCCCAAGGAGACGGAAGGAAGGTGTCTTCACAAGGGAAAGCGAGGAACACGCCATGACGTCCACCCGAAAGTCTTGAGAACAACTGGATTTTGGAGCAGTTCGAAGAAAGAAATGTTTTGGAGTGCAGACTTCCTGAGACGCAGCTGGAGAGACCAAATCCACCTGCCAGGTCTCCAGCATCACTCACCACCAAGCGCTCCACCTTCCAAAAGCCCCACCCACCCAGCGCGCCCTTTCTTCCACGCCTCTGGATGCGCCTCCAGGTCGTTTCGGGCGCTGTGAAGGTCCACTCCTCGCTGGTGGGCCCCGGTAAACGCCCACCAAGCGGAGTTCTTTGAACCAGGACCATCCCTCCCTCGAGGCGAGGTGGGTTCAGAAGCTAGAGAGGTGGTGATTGTTTAAATGAGATTCAATGAGGACTCCTGGTTTCTGAGGCCAGTTTTTCGGAACCTATATTATATAAAGAGACCAGAGCTAGAAGAATGAAGGAGAATGAATGTCCTTAACACTGCCCAGACCACTGATTGGAATCGGAAGACTGGACCGTAGGCTTCCAAGACCATATTGTCATATTCAATGAAAGATTGACCTGGTTTCGTAGTGCAAAGGCCTTAGTTCAACAAGGGTTGTTGTTCGGTAAGCCTAGCACTCACTTACAGTAAACCAATGGTGGTTGGTTTCGCCTGGGGCGCACTGAAATTCCAAACCCTCGAAATATCGTCCAGGCTGCGGGAGATGCGGCCCAAAAAGCTCTGCACCGCCAGTAGCAAGTCGCGGGAGGACCTCAAAGCAGCAGCTGTTCTCAGCGGCGCCGGGCAGCTTCCACCGGCGAAATCGGCTGTCTGTTAGGGAAAGCAGCACAGGGATTGGGCAACTATAAACATGCTGGAGCATATCATATATTGTAATACTATTTTAAAGGAGAAGTGACAAACCCTGGCAGGCTGAGATCTCCCTGGTGCGTTCATGTGTTTTATCACCACGCTGGCGAAATGAAACAATCCGCTCCTCTTGAAGGCTCATCCTAACAACAATCCGCTCTGCTGTTGATGAACCTTCTTGGCAGATACTAAGGTTCGGTTCCATTCCAAGCCCATCCGGATTTGGCTTCATCCTGCATGCGGAACCTCTGGCAGTCGAAACTCAGCCCTGCTGGAACGTTCCGCTCCTTTCGGCTCGTGCGCAGCTTTGCGCGCTTGGCGCAGCAAGCAGAAGTGGGCACCGGATCAGTCCACCGCATCAGTCCACTGGATCACTCGTCTTTCTGCAGTGGTAGAACCGAAACTGAAGCCCTGCACGGTCGACCTCATCACCTGTCCTCACCGTGTGTAGCTCGTCCTTGACCAATGAAAGGCCTGCCGCGCTCAAGAGCTTCACTGTATCATCCCTTGGGTACGAAGACCAAACCATGGTCGTTCCCAAAAAGTCCATCTCCAAACCGCATTCCCCGTCGCCGTCCTCAAAGCCAGCTCCGAGGTTGAACACGAAACGCCCCCCGGGGCGCAACCAGGACGCGGCGCGCGCGAAGAACGCCGCGTGGTCCCGGCGTGGCAGGTGGAAGACGGAGAAGAACGCGCAGATCGCGTCGAAGCTCTCCGCCTCGCAGTCCAGGGCCGTCATGTCGCTGCAAAGGAAGGTGGCCCGGTCCGACGGCACCAGCTGCTTCGCCAGTTCGATCTGCCGGGGAGAGATGTCAACTCCGGTCACGCGCATCTGCCGCGCATCGTCCACGATGGCCTTCGCCTCACTGAAAGGAAAAAGCCAGTTTGTGTCGACATGGTCTTTGGAATAAGGAGGTTATGTAACCGAGGGGGGTTCAATCGTCATGTCGCATCCATTTGCTCCTTTTTTCCCCTAGGTCTTGGCGGGTCTCCGTGTTCAAAACCAAACTTCTATCGAAGTGAGTTGCTATCGGCACACCAGCCCCGCAGCCTGCATCCAGCACATGGGCGCCTGCGTGCAGCTCGGCCATCAGCTCCCGAAAGGGTTCCAGGCGCAGATCCTCCTCACCGGACGAGTGGCGGAGGTAGGCCTCGGCACAGCGGTCATATCCCTCGGCCACGAGCTGGCGAAAGAGCGCCCCATCGGCAGCAGCGCGGACGCTGAGATCCGGTGCCGAGTCCATGGGGCGCGGAGCGCGGCAGCAAATTGAAGTATAGATTGGAGGATCAACGACGGGGTACTGAAATTGGATCATATACTGACCTTAAATCAGTTGGTGTGGACAGCTGAGACAAAGTCACATGAGTACTATATAGTGAGTATACTCAGTATTGGAGCGAGAAAGGAGGACACAGGATCGCGCAGGTAGGCGCTGGCAGCATGCCGCAGCTTCATACCGTTGTTCTTGCCAAGACGAACAAGTTGTGAAGAGAACTTTCTCAAGGTCATGTGCCATAGTTGAAGCTTTTTGCCGCTGTGTCCATGTTGTGCTTCAAGGACAGCTGGCTGGTGGAAGTACCGGCACGAGAAGGCTTTCAGGTCATACATTCAATAGTTCTTGCATCATGTTGCATCTACAAAGTGACAACCCAAACAGTGCTGAATAATGCTCACTCCTTCAGCTGCACCCCCCAAAAAAAAGAAAAACAAACTCTTGGAGGCATGGCTCATGATGGCTCCATACCAAAACCAATTGACAAACATGTTCTGTTGTATGCAGTGAACCTCGTGGAGGTTGGGACGTCTTTTCATGCTGACAGAAACAGCAGCTCAGCAGCTCTCGGTTTCACCGTTTTGGGCTTCACATCTTTCTGTGACTAGACTCGAAAGGTGCATCACTTCGCCACCCCGGGCCTCTTCAAAGGTTTTTACACTTCACGCGAAGGGGGACCGCGGAAGCCCGTGAAGCATCATACGCTTCACTGCATTGCACATGAAAAGGACTCACCTCCCGTAGGTGTTGCATACGGAACGACACCCGAATGCAGTGGTGAATCAGGATTGGCCGAAGTTCTTGCTGGTTGAGTGGAACAACGGAGCCCAGTTTCTACCGTGGCCCTCGCCCGGCGGGTGTGCTTTGGACGGTCCATCCTCCTTCCAATCGGCCAGACGACCCATGAACTTCCCGGGCCTCATACCCTCGCAATCGTCCCATCAGGGATCTATACCTGGACCTGGACCACGAACTTTACAGCTATGACTGTCGATTTATATCTACACCGACACCTTGCCACATGTAGAACCAGAACTGTCCAACCACCAAATCCGGACCGATGCCTATGCCTCCACAGTCGCCGGGACTGGCCTTCGATGGCCTTCGAATGCGGTGGGTCCACGTGTCGACTGGCTTAGCCACAGCACTGGAAGGGGCTCCAGCCTTTCAGCTGGAGCCTCGGATGGCAGGCGAGCGCCGCCTGGACATCGTATCCTGGGCGAGCAGGTCATCGGACGGGTGATGTTCGGACTGGACTGGGGATTGGTCAGGGAAGAGCTACCAGGTGCTGTGCTGAAGGAAGAGCTGTCCAAGCAGCTACTTGCTTCCATACTTAGATACTGATGTTTCAGGTTTAGGTTTCTCACCTATCATGATAATAGATGAAAATAGCTTACTTGTACAGCAATTGGCATAGTCCGGCTATGGCCATTGCTCCTTCAAGATTGGTCACCACCCATGGGTTCAGAATTTCCTCGTTTAGCACCGCATCCGTAGTGCGTGGATCAAAAAGCATCTTCTCAACCCACGGGTTCTGAGACGTCTGTTGACCGATGACTCCCATGAAATCCTCCGTCACGCCCTCGGAGATGAACATGTGGAGGAAGCTAGCCTTCCAAAGGTGTTCATTCTCAGGTTCCATGTGAATCTTCCCCAGCGGAGAAGATTATTTTAACAAAACACACACACCATTGTGCCATATCACCATCCAACTGACCGGAGCTACGCTCCAAACCGCTCGGTCCTCACGCTCTTTCTTGATTTCATCGCCCCTCACCGAGCGGCGGCCCTGTAATCTGGGACGGATCAGCGCGAAGCTGGGCGGGTAGAAGGGGTGCAAGTCCTCCTTGAAGAAGACCCGCAGCTCCACGAAGTCGTAGCCTCATGAAGTCGTCAGACAGAAAGGGACAGAGCACGAAGTGGGGGGACCAGGGGGGAGGTGGGAAGGTGGGAGTGAGATGAGAAGGCCCGCGGGTGCTGCAGATTCCGTAGGTGGATGAGGATGGTTGGAGTGGGGAATAGGTAAGCGATGGTAAGAGATACACTCTTACCAAGCATTAATGAATGTAGATACTGATTGCGCCAGCAATGGATTAAACATGTTCAAATAACTATATACTGTATAATATCTTCCTAATAATTCCTAACATTTGGATTGTAAAACCTCGTGATCTGGGGGTTTGCTTGGTCAAGAGTGACTTCCTCTACATCGCATGGGAACACAAATCTTTTAAGATTAGTTTTATGTGCACGCATGGGACTGGCAGTGGAGATGACAGACTCACAAAACCCCCGAGTCTGATCCGAACATCGCATCATATTATCGTATCACATCAAGTCGTCGACGAAAACATCGCCCAGCCTTGTGGGCCATGAAAAACATCCTTTCACTGCTCCGATCCCGGAGAAAAAAAACCACTAGCCGCTCCAAACACTCTTCTTCCCACCGAAATGCCTGTGGCATACTGCCGCGCCGAGCTGCCCTGGGAGGCCTGGAGCTGCTTCAAGTCCTCGGCCAAGCACCCCTCGAAGCCCCGCAGCCGCACCGCCTTGGGTGCGGGGACCGCACGTGCAGTCACACGGTCCGAGACGGTCTAGGGGGCGGCCAAAAGATCCAGAAGAGGATCGGTAAGGGAGTGGGTGTGTGATGATCATGATATGAAGTGTGTACAGTATATTAATATGTTTTTGGCATTCGAGCTTTTACATCATGGCTGTGGTCGAAGCACAAACAAGTATAGTACAATGCTAGCGCAGGCGGCCGCACAGAGGTGGGGACCACTGAACTGAATAGAAGAGCCTTTGGAGGAGTCTCACAGAGACCCTTGAGGGGAGTGCCTTGCTTCCTATTTCACATGGTTTCACATGCGAGCAGCTCTACGTGCTTCTCATCCCAAACGAATGCGGCGACATGCTGCGAAAAGCCCTGGATTGCCAGGATTGATCCATCTCCATCCCCACGGTAGCGGAAGCCTGCAGTGTGGCTTCTAGAGGGCTCGTGTGGTAGGTAGTCAACCCCCCCAAAAAAATGACATCATCAGATTGCAGCGTCCACCGTCTGCTGTCTGCGGATGTCCGTCTTCGTCTTCCAAGTTCTCTTCCCATCAGCACCTCCGCTTTTCGGTCGGCTGCGGATGTAGCAAGGTGCCCAGTGATAGACGTTGAAGTCCACCGCATCGGCTTGGATGCCTTGGGTCCTTGGGCCAGACTCCGACTCCGCCTCCACCGGAGGAACCCGGCGGAACCGGCGAGGCCCAAGAGTCAAAGAGGCGAGGCGAGGCGCTCGGGCCCGACCCGAGGGCTTCAGCAATGCAGTTCTGATGGATGGAACGTGACCAAGCCCATGGATGGTGCTGCAAGTCCAGGCTAGAAATGTCTAGAAGTCTGGCACATCCCAAGCTGAAGACTTTCGAAGACTCGAGGGCTGCTTGAAAGCTTTGCGGCCCAGTGGCATCTGAGTTTGAAGACTGTACAGTTCGTTGGACAAAATGCTGAAGGCCTCTCGTGCGAGTAACTGAGTCACTCCCATCATGTGGGCATCATTTGAGTGGTCAGATTCCAATTTGCCTGCAAGCCGCACAAGAATCGATCAACTCGCCACGGACATCCACGGAACATCTGGACTTGGACTGGTGCGATTTCGCAAGGCTAACCATCCATCGTTTTGGAAAGGCACCCAAAGGCCCAAAGGCAGAGTAGCTTCAGTGGCAGAGCTAGTCAACATCAAGCACGAAAAGAAGGAACGTACCGACCTGATGGTCCTAAGCATCGCACTGGGAGGCCTAGCTTCAAACAAACAAAGCAATATATAACTGTCCAAAAGAAGAATTGATTGATTTGATGTTTAACACTCCAGGTATGCCCAACAGCGAAACCCCCAGGTTTCCATCAGTGAGGAAGGCCGACGAAAAAACCACGATGTCATGTCTTCTGCCAACAGCACGCATGCAGAACAACCTTCGGCGAGACGAGACCAATGAGTCCTGATGGGAGTCTCTTTGCTTGAGGTCTCTATGGGGTCTATGAACCTCTCTTTGCTATGGGGTTCATAAGAACATAGAAGAACCAAAGTGGGAAGCCCAGGTCATCAGGTCATCTGTGGTTGACCCTAGGGTCGGCCCTGGGGTCGACACCAGCTTCTTCGCACCTCTTTGGAGTTGAAGATCTGTTCGCCCGCGGCCTTGAGTTCCTCATTGGTCAGTTCCGGAGGTTCGCCTCCCGCGGCGCCCACGGAACAAAAGAGAACAGGCGAAAATGATGCTGATTCGATGGGTATGTAGCTATGAACGGGTTCACATCGATTCTCCTTTACATCATTTACATCATGGTCGGAGGGCGCGGCAAAGCCGGAAGACGATTTTAGATTATTTTTAGAAGGTGCTTCTGTTGGCCGCAGAAGCAAGGATGGATTCATCTATCGGATATAGAGAGTAGATGGCACAAGGGCCCCTAACTGGGCCCCCAATGTCGGTGCTTTATGGACCCCCATCTAAAACACCTAAAAGGGGTGCCGCACTGGGTGCGGCCATCAACTTGAAACCGACTGAAAGTGGTTTGTTTTGCAGGCGACTTCCGCACCGCTGCAGTGCACATGTGGATCCAGTCTCTCATGCTCCGCCCTGGGCCGCTCCGCCTTTCCGGCGCTTCTCCCGGACGGACAGGCGCTGATCTTCGACCTCCTGGTGCTGGTGCCGCTTCGCCGGGATGGCGTTCGGGTGGGGTGCCGGAGTCGTTGGGTGGGCTTCGCCGGTGGCTTACATTATCTTTGGCTTACATGGCTCCCTGGCTGTTGCGTTCGCACTCTCGCTCCCTCTCTCCCTCTCTCTTCCGTGTTTTTTCCATGTTGATACGTCCTGTGACCCAAAGACTATAACTCCAGAGTCGAATCATCAAATGCCTTCCGAAGTTCTAAGCGGGGCTGATTGGGCCAGGAAAGTTGACCCCAAAAGAGCAATCAAATGCAATCAGAACCGCAGTCCATGATTAAGACGAAGCGGGCCCTGGTGGGTGGTGCTCTGTACAATCTTTGGACCATCAATGCCCTGTGCATTCATCTCCGACAGAGGTGAGTCGCATCATGCGATCGCATCTGACATACAGCAATGGCACACAGAGAGGGAGAGAGAGAGGGAGGGAGCGAGCGAGGGAGGGAGGGAGGGAGGGAAGCAGTAGACGGTACTGACGGTACTGTTCTTCCAGCGTTTCCCACCTTGAAACGCATAAAATGCATCAAATACCACCTAACTCAGGAGGGACACTTGCCTGTAGCAAACAACACCCTGGACAAGAACGCCTTTTACACATGCTCCAAGTGGTTCAATTTGTTCGGTCCCAAGTGGACCAAGTCGCATAGTTCCACTGGTCCCTGGTCTGCCGGTCTTCGCTCCTGCCATTTCATCTTCTTCCAGCCGGGTCGGTTGCACCGCTCATAGGAATCATCCATGATGCCGGTGCCTGGTCCACCGTGGAGCTCATTCGACGAGGAGAGTAGGGAGGGAGGTCCATCTAAGAGCTTCCATGCAAAAGCCAGACACGACTGATGGGACTGACATATTTACCTACATTGGGGTGGTTGACCCGGGGTCAATGTATGTAAATGTGCCAGTCCCATGTGTCATGTCTGGGGACAATGTGGCATGGCATGGCCTTAGCTTTCCCCCAATTCACACAAAAGGAATCAGCACTGTTCTGGTGGGTCCACCAACTTGCTCCGAACGCGTCCCTCTCGCGGGGCTGACGTGCATGAGTTTGGTACGATTTTTTGACAAAACATCTAGAGATCAAACGATTCCAAAATAGACTCCCATCCAGTCTGAATACGTTTGGGATTTGCGGTTTTTGGTCCAAAACCGGTTTTGGATCAAATCATTCAACTCCCCATCCAGTCCATCAGAGACCCCGGCTGCGACCCTGCCTTCGTCGGAGACCAGGTCTTCATCCGAGTCCTGTGGGGCCCGTTCAGGAGACACGGTCAGGATGGCAACTTGGAGAAAATCACCATCTCATGTGGTCAAGAGGAGGCTCAGATAGGGCTCAGCTTTGTGTGCCACAAAGCGGGGGAGGCCTTCCAAAGCCTCAAAGATCCCCAGCTTGGCAGCGCGAATCCAATGGCATAGCTCACGTTTGATCCCAAAGACCATCCCTAGGATTAGAGAGGAGATGAGACTAATGAATACTAAGACGACTGATCATGATCACTGGTAGCGTTGGGAAAGAGCTTAGCGTTGGGAAAGAGCTTGAGAGAATGTTGTAATTTGAGATGAGTGACGACAAGCTCTACAGTCTGGGGTGCGCCCCACTAGAAAAAGGGCCCCGGCATTGGTGCAGTTTCAGTCCTAGGCATCTGGGTTGGGCATGTCGACTACATAAAATCCAGTGGAATCATGGTGGTTGGATGTGGTAGGCCATCGACTGGTAGGCCATGATTCACGTCGGTCAGTCGCGAATCACGTGGGCTCCCGGTTTCGAACCGTCGGTCAGTCGCAGTACAAGTCCTGTTTCGTTCGCTTCCAAACGCGTGAAGCTTCCTTCCGTGTAACTTCAGATCTTCGGAAGTTCCTGGTTCTTCGAAGTGACCGAACTTGATAACTTGGTTTGAGGTCACTTAAGCCTCTTAAGGGTCACTTAGGATCACTTAGGAACCTTCAAAAAAGGTCACGAACTGAAGAAGCTAGTTGAAGGTTCCGGGTTTAGGGTCAACCTTCCCGGTTCCTTCAACCTCTTGGCGGAGGAACCGGTCCGAGTTCGTTCACCACGCCTGTAGCTCCAGCTCCGGAGCGTCCACCTGAAGTGACAACAGCCGGGGCGAAGTGGCCCAAAAACAAACGAAACTCCACTAGGGCAGGGACAAGAAGCACCTGTCCCAAACACACAAACACAATATGAATCATTTGATCATCATCTGATCACACAGTATTGGGATCGAATCATTGAGCTTGAAAGACACCTCCACATTGCAAAAAGCATGGCAGAACTAAATTGCGATGTTTCTGAAAATCGGTGAAGCCCACTTTGGGTGAAGTAGGTGCCGGTGAGGCTTGAGTGCTCTTGTGGCACACCACTAGGCCGGCCGAATGAGACCCATATATGATGTCCAACAAGCCGCCTGAGCCGTTATTGATGCTCATGGTATTTCATGGTGGTGTGCTGTGTGTTGTATAACCTTGCAATGAGTGTTGAGAGGCGAGGAGGCCTCAATGAGTGTTGTATGGTGCCTCAAGTGTTGTATGACCTTGCAAAGGAACAACTCGAGAGCTTCCTTCCCCTCAAAGATACTCTTTCTCAAGACGATCCACCAAGCAGTAAGGTTCCAATAAGCCACAGTAATAGGGGTGCAGTCTTGAGTGACGCTAGGCGGCGGAAGTCCTCTTGGCTGACGCCTTGGCTGACGCATAGTGTGCTATGCTTTGAAATGCTTTGAAGAACCTTACCACAAATCCCAGGCAGTGGGACCTGGGACCTTCCTTCCTTCCCCCACACCTGGCACCTTCCTGCTATGCTTAGTGTGCTATGCTTCATCTGGCACCTTCCTTCCCTGGAATCACCACCGCGGCCTTGAGGACCTGCATGGCTGAAGAAAGCACTTCGTTCAGCTCCAAATGCTCCCGGTCCCCTAAGAGCTCGTTGATCGCCTGGAGGGCACCGGCCGTCGCCCGTGGATTTTTGGGCGGAACCCATCCGAGGCTTTAAACCTCTTTTTGGGCCGACGTGTCTTCGACCTCAATACTCTTGGTTCATGTTGAAGAATGGTGACATGAAGATGCATCCAGGGATGTCCAGGGCCCAAAATCACTTGTGGTGATTCACGATTTGGTGGTCTTTTTCAGGTGTGCAGATTTATACTATACCCGGAAGTGAGTTAGGACTTTACGACAGCTCCAAAAAAACAGGACGGACAAATGAGATAGGTCACGAAATAGGGTACAAAAAGAATGCGCAGATGAGATCCTGCTGGCACAAAAAAGTTGCAACCCATCTCATGTGCTATACCGTGGGCGTACCGTAGCCGTCAATGATAGCTTTCAGCCGATGAGATAGGACTATGTGCTGAATGTCAATCAAAAAACAAAATAGAATATAGTCCCTAGCCATGAACGAGCAACGCCCGGCATATGCTGGCATCAGCAAAGCTCTTTCAGCCCATGAGTTAGGTCCTTGTGGCCAATTCTATCATCTCCTGTGGTCTCCGCCAAAAGTAGGCTTTCGGCAAATGAGATAGTCCAACGGATTACGGGGTGTGTGTTCGAATACTCCCAACTCACCTGGGACTAGTGACTAGTATGCTAAAAAACAAACATTCGCTTCATATGATGTCACAAAAATGTGATCCAAATGAAATCCAAACATGTAACAACATGGTCGCAACATGCTTCCTTCGTCACATGCACCACGTGGACCACGATTGGAACGAACAAACCATCACGTCGGACACACAACCGGCCTCCACAAGCTCGGACTCGCCATCCTCACCGGTCCGCCACACAGCAACATGGAAGACCAATATGGAACGATTGGACACTACGAACGGGGCGAAACTGGCATCGCTACTAGGAACAAGGACGCCAGCTGTCTTGTCATGGCCTCTTGGATCCAAATTGGCGATGCAAAACCAGTGCTGCTAGTGGCGCACTGAGTTCACACGGTGTTCATCGAGAGAAGCAGGACGTCGGAAACACCAAACGAGACGCTCCAGTGCGAGCAACCTACGATATCCGAAACGCTCTAGTGTCAGCGATGCTGATATTCTGAAGCCTTGTGAAGTAGACTCTTTCAATCTGAGGTCACCTGCAGGGACCTGGGCTTCCTTGGGAAGGCCCACAACGATGCTTCAACTGCACCCCCAGGGCCTCCCCCATCATGATGCCGCCGCTGTCGGGATAGCTCTCGACCTGTTCTTGAAAGGGTGCCTGGATGGACCTTCAGAGGCCTCATGATGGACCTCCAGAGGTCTCTTTAAACAAATGATTTAAGATGACCTCATGGACGGAAAAGGCTCAATCAGCTTTTCAAGATAGCAAGCAAGCACTACTAGGCCAAAAGCCGGATCCTATAGTAACCTACTAAACTATAGGGCGAGGAGTTCTGGTCATATTACATTATATATTATACTAATTATATGCTTGTATAGCTAGAGATACGATGGGCTCTGATTCATCATGGTCGCAAGGCACCTCATAGATGAGGAAGTTCAAACGATGAGCCTGCCCTTCAACGCACAACTTCAACTCGATCACATTGTCCTGGGGAAACCAAACGAAGGGTCAGCGAACTGTGTGAACACGACAAACGCCACTCACAGCTGCTTTTCATCCCTGCCATGGCTTGCAGATCTCACTATAGTTACTTGAACCCTTCCCCGCCTCCCCTGAAACCCTCCCCCCCAAAGAGACTCGATCGAATCGTTGTGCTGGGTGCTGCAACCACTCGTGCACGTCCAGCGGGGGCGGGGCAGCACTGGGCGAGCCGTAAGGTGAACTGTTCTGGTGGCGCCGTCTGAGGAGCCAAGCTTCCGGTCCGATTGGGAGACCTAACCGGCTCTCTTCCCAGCAGTTGTTCATCTTTTTCACCTGGAAAAGGAGTTACATTATGTTACCTAAATGTCCCCATGCCCACACCGATGCTTGACATGGACTACAGCAACTCCCCACATCTCTGAGAGCCCCCCCCGCGCCTTCACGCCCTCCACACCTCTCCGCCCTGTTTTTGATCCACCCGTCGAGCTGAAGGACCACCCTTCGAGCTGAAGGAACCCCCCCCCCATGCTCTTTTCAGCAGCTCCTCCAGCTGGAGACGTTGTAAAGCCTTGATCTCTCGGGACCGTAGCGCCTCCGGGAGACCGCCGGACTCGTCCCCATTGAGGCCGTTTTTCGCCCGGGTGGGACGACTCACGCGCGAGCTATCGACGGGGTACTATGGGATATGGCTATAGCCTATAGATGCCGCCCTTGTGGCCGGGAAAGGCCTGTGGGATCGAGAAATAGGTCCGAAGCTGGAAATCTAAAGAAGATCTGTCACTTCATAGGCCCTGAAAATGGATGTGACACCTCTAGTCAGGAGAATTGACCTTTTCTGAAACCGATCTTCGGCACTCGTCCAGCTTCCATGCCCCATCGCACATGCCCAGGCACCTGCAGGTGAGATCTCAACAGCACTTCGCCCATCGCACATGAGACACGACGCCGCGAAAGCACGAGGTGAGGGGTTGGGTGGAAGAAACGGTCCAGTCGGACTCTTTGGTCGCCCCAAATGGATCATCCAGTGGTCAAGGGGGGCTCATGCCAGCGAACTTGCAAGGCATGCAGGCCACAAGTTCTGGTGACCCATGTGATCAGCGTTCCAGCGTTCCTCATATCAACACTGCAGCCACAAAATCTATATAGACCTCTGCATGGATGCCAAACGAATATCGCTGGCCTTGGCATGTTTTCATCTGTTTTCCTGCCTTGGCCCGCGAAGGCTTCGAACTGCGAACATCTTCAAACTTGTTGCCGTGCCACTGCGGCCCCCATGCGCATGAACGGGTGGGTGGCCAATCATGGCACATCGTCTTCGGTCGAGCCTGGAACGTGGCAGTCGCAAAGGTAGCAGTCCTTCAAGCACTGACGCACAGGTCACTTGGTTCACTGAGATCTTCACAACTCACCCAATCTCTGCAGAATTCTGCAGACTCTTGATTAATGAACTACCCTCGGAACCTCGTTGTTCTTGTTTAAAAAATATGTGCTTTACTCCAAAATGGATCAAAATGGTTCTATCGAGGGTCGATCTCCGTTCCGCGCAGCACGCCGCATGACGCCACTCGGACGTCGGCAGGAGCGGAGACTGTGTGCCGCCCCTGCCAAGTGCAAACAAGAAAGCATACCCTCGGAGTCCAAGACAGCGCTTAAGCTAAAAGCGAGATTCTGTCAATTCTGTCCTAACTGTCCTATGACTTCCGATGACTTTCAAGTCTTAAGTAGTCTCCAAACTATCTTTGACCTTTCTGGGGCCTCGTCAAGGCCCAAACACTGGGCTCGCCACGCCGCCCCGCTCCACGCATTCGGTTTCCCTTTTGCATCGGTTCCGCGGTCGCCCCAGGATGCACTTGGTGTCATCCCCCAGGCTGAAGGCGGACGGGCCGCCACGAAGGCGGACGAATTGCCGCAGCCATCAGGCTCGGTCCACTTGGTCTCAAGTGCCGATTCTGGTGGCCGTCCGGATGATCTGCAAGGATCCACATGGTTCGTGTCCTGTGTCTTTTTATTGAAAGGGCTCCCCTAAAAGGGAACCAGAGCAACTCTGCATCCTCACAAGTCCGCTGAAGTTCGCCCAAGTGGGTGGTCAAGAATGTGAGTTGCAGGGATGCAGAGTTCTGAACTCAGAACAGGCCTCAGCATCTCAGAAGACCAGAAGTGAGGGTCCCTCTGAGTGAAAAAGCTTATCTTCTGACATGTTGAAGCTCCAAATCCCATCCAAGGGACAATGGAATGGATAAAATCGATGCTCAGCCCAAGTCCTCAAGGTGGCCTGTTACTGCTTTTCGAAACGATCCGCATCCAACGATATCCAACGATCCAAGCTTTGTTGGGGTTCTTTGTCCATGTTTTTCTCGAGCTCTAAGGACCGCAGGTCACACTTTCACCACATCTTCGAGCACTTGAAGAGGCTGAGCAAAGCTGGAAGAGGCTTTGACTCTCGGGCGTGGCATCGGCTCCAAATACAGGAGTCCCAAAACTTTTGACTTATAGAATTAGATACTTAATGACAGTAGCCGAACATTTTAGGTGTCCCATTTCAGGTACTTGGCTCCAGAGCCAACTCCCCGGTGCACCGGGTTGGGCCGACCCTCCAGATCTTCCAAGACTCGAAACCAAAGATTTCCCTTCTGCAAGAAAACAGCCACTTCTGAATTCTGAGTCTAAGAATGTCTACCAGTAGGGGGATGTCTTCCAGATTCTGCCAGCCCAAGGAGTCTGCATCCCCATTGACGACCGATACCCTACTCAAACAGAGCATGGCGCTCACACGTGTCGTCGCTGCTCGAGCCTTGTCAACATGTGAAGGTGGTTGGAGGATTGGCAGAATGGGAGGTGGTGCTGAGGAAGGAGTTGTGGCAAAACCACAGCTTGGAACATACCAACCCTAGATTCTAGATGCATGTTCATCACCAAAATGAGCAAACACGCAACGGTGGCCAAGCTGAACAGTGAGAAACACATCATCCTGAAAACTCAATTGCGTCATGATGTCCTGCAACAACCCGTGAATCTAGGTCAACCTGCACACCGTGGCAGTCCACATGTCCCACATATGAATGCAATATAATGCAATATAATGAGTCCAAAAACCCGAGATGTTGGGGGGACCGTGGCTCGCTATGTGGAAGGTTGAGGAAAACCTGACCGATCTGCATCACAGCCGTCCATGTCCGTCCACGAGGCGCCACGCGGACCCGCCGCCCCTCCACGCTCTTAAGCAAACCTCGGCGCGCCACCCACGGCGTCCAAAACGAGACAAGGGGAAATCCATACGTTCCATGCGTCCAAGAGGGGGGGAGGGCCATCCACAAGAGCTTGGTGTGTGAAAGCGCTACAATTTAAACGTGATTCTATGATGATCTATGCTTGCAAACCGAGCAAGTGAATTGTTTTTGGCCTTTGAAGGAGAACTGCTTGCAGTACATATGCCAGACCAGGTGCCTGACGTTTGTCCTTGACGTTTTGGATGTTGCTTATTCTGAACTGGCCTTGTCTGGACCGAAATCTAACAGCATGTTTAGATACATTGTTATATACATGGTTCAGGATCTCTAGCTAGGGGCTCCCACTACAACCCGTGGTTAAACATGTTTCAGGTGTCTCCAGTCTGAATCGGCCACTCCCTACAGGACATGATTCTGCGAGGCTCGTGGTTCCCAGAAGCGCTGGGAATACGGAGGCTGTGTACGCTCACATGTCGGGCCTTCCCCGGCTCCAAAGAAGATCAAAACATGTCTCAGAGTAGTATATAGATGACTTTTGGGACACTAACGCAGATCACAACTTTAGACTTGTTCTTAGGTACTGTATATGTGTGTAAAACCTTAAAGAGATGTCAGGGATTGTCAGGCAAAGCAGCCTGGGCCCATTTGCCACGACTCTCTGGGCCTCCCAGCGCCCCGGGCTCCTCCAATTTCAATGTGCCTTCTCCCCACGCGAGCGAAGACGGTCCGTTTAGCTGACGTGTCAGGGCCCCCAGGCGGGCGGAGAGACACTTGGGGGGACTGGAGATGAAGGGAGAGGCACGTGGCGGGACGGGTAGTTGGATCCAAAGAAGACTCCATTGCAGGAGTCTAACTTCCTGAAACCGCCCTCATTGCCTACTCAACTATGAAGTGGAAATCGTCCCAAACAAGAACCGATTGGGAGGCTTCTCTCTCGGTTGGCCCTTTGGACATCCTAGACTCCTTTGTTTTTGGCAGACGTGATCCCATGGGTTTCTTTTGGGGGGGGGCAGAACGAAGCTCCGGAAGGGATTGATTCCTGATGCTTCGGAGGTGGGACGGGACCCACGTTGGTGGGCCTGAAGCGCGAAAGCGGTCGACTCGGGAGGTTTCGGTCGACACAGAGGCGCTGCAGCCCTCTTCAACTCCTCTCACAGGTGGTCCGAACTAGGGCGGGGAGCCATGTCCTGTCAGGAATCACTATAGAGTCTATAGTCCATGCCGGTTGCCATAGCTCTTATTGCTTCTTCGCTTGGGGGGTGCAGGATCCCCTCTGCGAAACCAAAGAAACCAACAGAAAATAGCCAAAAGGCCATCCCCTTTTGCCCCAGTGCCACCGCCGTGGACTATGGATGACTATTGGACACCAACCCGGGAACCCGGGTTTGGAGTCGCTCATCTCACCCACCACCACCCATGGATCTCCCTTCTCACCCCATAGGATGGCACTTTCGCCACCGCCACCATCCTCCCTCCCCCCGGGTGCTTCCCACGGCCCACCGTGCCCGGCGTCCCTTTTCTCCGCCCGGACGCGGAGGTCTCGTCTCGGCCGCGCGGCTTCTGAAGCGAGACGTCTCGTCTCGTCAGTAGCCACGCTGCACGCGGACCGCGTCTAAGATATCTCGTTCGAGACTGGGAAAGTCATGCGCCTTCCGAAGCTTCCTCCGGGCTGAAACACAATAGACTTGATCTAGGCCGTACTCGATCTGGAAGTAGTCCTCCGGCCGTTTTCGCCAGCGTGGTGGTCGCTATGGCGCCACAGTAAAGAAACGAAAATGGCAGGGTCCAACCAGGGCCAACAAGGGCTCGGATAGAATAGACATGAGTCACATGAGACTGTTTGACTCTTTGGGCAGCTCATTTCACTAGACTTGATGTGGGATGTGTGAAGGTGTTACAGGATTGTTAGGTGGGCCACGGGGGCATGGGGAAACATGGGAAACACACCAAATCAATAACAAGTGCAAACGGTGGGTGCTGCTAAGAGCCTGCACATGACTGCCGAGCATGGCTTTTGTGATAATGAAGAGTCTGCCAATGAATACTGAGAGACGTTCTACTGAGAATTACGGAGATATACCGAGCATAGTCCGACAATAATTTCTGAGTTCAGAGATATTGTTCAGGTTCTCAGGCTGGTGCTCTCAATCTTCCACCAACCTCGGTCACGTCCCCTGTCAGAGTTTCCACCAACCTCGACCACCGGCGGAATCCATCGCAAATTCGGCTCCCAGCTTCAAAACCTCTCCCAAGAACCAGCTAGTTCGCGCAGCGATCGTGCAGCTAATGGTGCCCAAACATACCAAGCCAAGAGCCTCACGTTCCAGTCACTAACTGAAAAAGCATCAGACTACTGTTCTGCCCACTGCTTGGTTCTGCCGATCCCTTAATGTTTTTCCCTTGGTTTCCCACCCAGCTGGGACGAAAAAAAAACATGCTTTCCATCCCACCCCCATCCACGAGTAGACCCACCACCTGGATCCAGGTCCCCGGTCCATGGGTCCATGGGTCCTTCGGGCTTCGATGGGGTCCGGGAGGTTTGGTCCGGTGCCCGCCTTGATGCATTCGATGGTCTGCGTGGCCACCTCGAGTTTCTGCTGCTTACTAAGCTCCTCGTCATCGTGAGCCTCCTCCTCCTTCACCTGGCTGTGACAAGCACTCGTTAGCTCGTGAGCCACCCCCCCAAAAAAAGAATAAACAAGTGGGAAAACGAAAAGGGTAAGCGTAAAAAAGGACTGGATAAAGAAACCCTGTTCTAGATTGGCATCTTGGAATCCATGGAGCATATCTTGTTTTGGGGTGTTCTCATCTTTCTGAAACCAATGCATTTGCTTCTTTCTTCCTTTCACTTTTCTCCTGAATTGTGTGGTGGTGCAGGGGGCCCGCAACCGTATGAATCGAACCTCGAAGTGACCTCACTCTCTCTCTCTCTCACACGCTAATGCCTTTTGACAGAACCCAAGCCACGTCAATCTCTCCATCCAAGTCACAATCTCCGAGTCAATGTCCACATCCACCTGGCCACAAGCTTGGGCCCACTTCATTAGCGAGTAGTAAATGCAAACGATTGGAAGGCATCAAAGATATCGCCCAAGAAGAGCGTCAGATGATGTCAGATGCATGTCATCCATGATGCCCAGAACAGAGTCTCAGGACCGTTTATGAAGAGACAGGGAGGGAGGGAGTGAGTGAGTGAGTGAGGGAGGGAGGGAGGGCGGGAGGGAGGGAGGGAGGGAGGGTGAATGAGCTCAAATTAATTAGTACCATAGTACCATAGAAAACTAAAACCTTGTCTACAACTCGATCATGGTGAACTCCTCAGTTCGCTCATGCCAAGTGCCCGAGTTTCCCAACAGGTTCCACCACAGCTCTTCCAGGCGCCTTCGGCCCCACACGATGTCCGCAAATGTCCAAAACTCGTCGCCCCCGATCCACCACAGTGTCGCGGAACGCGGTCCGAGTCGCGCGGGCGACGCGTCGCGGAACGAAGCGCGCCTTGTTTCTCACCATGAAGTACGGCACCTGCGACGGTGAAACGGCTGGCCCGGCACTCCGGTGAAGCCACGGTCCGGACGGCGAAAGAAGGACGCGCACGGCCCAAGGCAAAGAGTGAAGAGGAAGACCTCAAGGCCCAGGTTGGGGGTGGGGAACTTTGGGCAGAGCACGGAGGGGGAGTAAAGTCATCAATAGGTTCTGGAAGGTAAACTGTAAAAGGGTGAGGGCGGGGGGGTAAGTCCAGTTTAGATTTATCCATGTGTAGTCCTTGGTTCTCTCTCTTCAGATGCAGCTGGGAAACATCAGCGAGATATGTGCATGCTCCTCCACAATGACATGTGGATCTATGGATTTGTTTTGTCTCGCTCTCTCTCTCTCTCTCTCTGGAAAGCCCTCCAATTCTTCCCCTTTCCTTTTCGTCACATACCCCATCACCCGACGAATTCAGCGTACCTGGAACTTCTCCAGCTCCCGTGAGAGCATTAACTCAGCCTCGGTGAAACGGCTCGAGGTCACCAGCAAGGCCACATCGAAGTAGCCTCGGTCGAAGTAGCCTTCTCGCGCCACGAACGCGTTTTGGAGTTTTTGTGATGCCACACGAAAGCAGATGGGTTGGTGTTTTCATGCCTCATCCCTGCCACGGGGGGAGGGGCAGGGGACTTCTGTTCATTGGAATCCATGTTCCCATCGCCAGCTGATGCGACGGCGTGTCGAAGGCGTCCACAAACGGTCGATCCGACCCATCTGGGTGTTGGGGACACTGCCCCTCATGCCACGTCCACGAATCGGCTTTCTGCACTGCGAGTCAGTTCGGCCGAAGCGGTCCCCCCTAACAGCGACTGAAGCAGCAGCCCAGCTTCAACTCAGCCTTCAGTGCAACAAAAGACTTCTGCCACTCAAGTTCCCGGAGACCCAATCAGCCAAAAGCATCCCAAAACAAAAGGATGTGTCCCCACTGTCCCCACTTCCTATGATTCATCATGTGAAGGACCTCAAGCTGGCGCTACATTGCAAAAAAAAACTGTTTTCTGGGATGAGAGTCCCGGTCTCCAGCTTGGAGATCTCTGTTATGTTTTCTAAAGCCAAGGCCCTGGGCCCCCAAGGCGGCCAAGTCACGAATCCCCATGCGCTTCAGGTAGGTGGCCTGCGGGAAGTTCGGGGTCCCGGCGCCTGGAAGGTCCCAGATCACCACGTCCAAGGGCAGCCCCACCACCTACGCGCGCGACGCGAAAAAGCGCGACAAACGGAGGGGTGACATGTCGGGGATGAAGGCCATTCCTGGCCCCCGAATTATTATTAGACTCGATCTGGATGAATAAACTCTCTGAACCCAATGGCCCCTAAGGTATATAGACTCTTGATGAAGTTGAATCCATAACTCCCCGTACTACTTGGATTGTAAAACCTCTTTCCGGAAGTCGATGAGAGTGTTTATGTCTATCAATGAGTCTGCATTCATTACTGCGGGCGATGACGGTGCCAATTACTTTGGACAGTGGGTTTTCTGGTTAGGATGAGTCCTCAGTCCCGCTCCCGCGTCACACGCGGTCGTGTGACGCGGTCCCGCCAGCCGCTGGATGGCCCATGGTCCATGGACCGGGTAAAAACATGTGGGTTGTAAACGGCTTCAAGTGTGTGTATAGAAATATATATATATATATGTGTGTGTGTGTGGTCTCTCTGCGCCTGCTGCTGGCGTATATAGGATAATATGTGTTTTGAAGTTTTTTGACGTATACCGCATGCCTGAATTCTCTGCCTGCCTGGTGGCCTTTGTTCACTTGGGCGCTTTAAAAAGGCACTTGAACCACCCAGGACTTCCACGCCCAACGTCTGGCGGAGCCGCTCCACCGGCCGCCTTGGAGCTGTCCACTTGAATCACCGAGCCAGTCTCAAGCCGCACCTCCCACTTCCTGAGAACGGGCGAAGCTGACCACGGAACCTCGACAAGTCCAACAAGCTCCCAGGACCGGATTTGTCCGGACCGGACCTGTCCTCCCCCCAACACACACCGGTTTTTTTCACGATGAAGGCTGTTGGCTAGGAAGGGTATGAGTGCGGCATGGCTCCCTCCAAGCAATCGAGTCTTGGAGTTTAAGAACTTCGCCCACCCATAGACTCACCCAAAACCAGTCTCCTGCAGACTGTAAGGTCCTCAAAATTGATGAGATCCGGATGGAGGGTTTGGTGGAACATGACCCACCACTTGCTCTACAAAAGACACTGTTCCGTTTTAATGATCCGTCTGAGGGAGGCATGATGACATCCTGCACCCAACAACTTGTACGGCCTGCAAAGGAAAATTGATGAAAATTGGTTTTCCACATCCCATATGAGTACATCGTCTAGACTGACATCCTCCCCCAAAAAACAATCACTGCATGTCTATGACTATGAGACCAGTGAGCAATAAGTAATTCTGCTATGCCAACCGTGATCTCACATGATCTCACCACATTTCTCACCCATCAATCCATCAGCGTTACCTCCCTCTCACATTCTCACATTAAGCCGCACCCCCCCCCACGCAGCCTACACTACCTCCCATCTGGTCAGGTGTCTCGTGCCCGCAGGTCTTCAGCACCTCGGCCACGGTGCCGTCCTCCACATAGGCCACATTGCCCAGGACCACCTGGACACCCACCTCCAGCTCCAAGTCCTCCGGCCGCGCCTCAACCAGCGCGTCAGACGCGGCGGGGCGAAGCCGCGGTTCGAGCGCCTGTGCGATCGAGCGGTCGAACAGCCTGGAAAGACTGGAAGGGGGACGAGGTGGGTCGCGGCGACCTCTGGTCTGAGGAAAGAATCTCCCAGCCGTGGCAGCCACTGTTTGACCAAGTGTATAAATGATGGAATTCATCTGGCTCGGCATTGGTTGGCCTGGGATTGCACACCAGAGCCCAAAGACGGAGCTCCAATGCCACCGATATAGCGGCGGCTTCTGCCAGAATTGGGACCCTCCGATGTAGCCTTCCGAATTGATTCCCTTCTTGTCGTCTTGACCCAACAAAAACCAAACCGTCCGCGCTCTCCGATCGCCACCTCCCTGTTTGGCCTTTCGATCGATCCCCTTCAGACCCCCTTCGGGTCGGTCTTAGGCCGTTGGATGTACGGATCATGGCCGTTGGTCCGGGTGGGTGGGCGAGGCGGGTCGCAGCAGGGTCTTAGCACCTGGACTAGCAGCGAGTTGAGTCAGTGCTGAGGGACTTGCCCTAACCACCCTTCTCCTCTTCCCTCACTCGATCTCACTCCTCTCTGGGCCTGGTAGAAGCGTTGCTCAAAGAGGCCCTCCTTCGGGCGAAAGCCTCAGGATGGGATGCACATGTGGAAGGTGGAAGAGCACGAATGCTGGATCATACCATGCGGCTGTTGGTTGCGTATGTAAGTCTTCCTCAAATGTTCCGCTACCACCAAAGTATAGTATAATTTGTATATATTAATGTGTGTGTGCGTGTGTGTGTGTGTGTCTATCTATCTATCTATCTATATCTAGACAATTCTAGACATATCTAGAAAAATTCAACATATTCGATTCAAACATCCGTCAAACCCAAACTAACCTGCTTTCAATCTGTTTCATCCATCTCAATGTCAACCAAAATCCGCACAAAAAAGCTGAAGTCGCATCTTCAGTCACCCTACCCGACTTTCGTAACCGCCACGTGTTGGCACTGGCACGGTCTCTATCTGCGCTGCGTCTAGGACCTAGGAGCTGTACATCGTGGGTTCCGTGGTGGTTTCCTTCACGCCGGTCTCTGCCGCGTCCGCGTCGGTGTCCTTCACCCTTCGTAGAGCATTGACCAAGGATGACTTCCCGACGCCCGAGGCTCCTGGAGGTTCACACCGTCCGTGGTCGGAGGTGTGGATCGACAGACTGGCCGGACCGGCGCTGGCATGTGCCCCACCACCACGGCATGAACACAACGATCCCTAGGGGATTCAAGGTGATTGGAGACTATTTATGTAGGCTTGGATGGTATAACTGAATCCCCAGCCAGGGTATGCTTCGCTGGGAAAACCTTGCATTTGAGCAGCTTAGGTGGGGCCTTTGACCCGGTGGGACCTTTGACCTTTGCTCCGCACCTTAGGAAGGACTACGACAAGGGTTTGCACAAGATACAGTACCTTAGAGCACCTCCCTTCAACAAGGAAGATGGAAGAAAAAAGAACACCTGCTCACCCCACACAAATTCAAACCATTGAAAACCCCGCCTGTGATGGCCAGCATAATTTTCCCACTCTCGCTGGCAGACTTCAAATAATCAGGCCTCGTTGGCGCCAGTATCAGATCGGTCGGTCGGTTGCTGGGATCCCCGTCGTTCAACGAGTTTGGATCCCCATGTTGCCCGTCCGGTAGCTGGCTATGTGTGTGTGTCTCACCAGTTTCACCGGCGAGCTGGTGGCTATGTTTGCAAAAACGGATTGACAGACGTCAAACGTCTCATCAGTTGCACTGGTTTAGGGAAACGTCCCCCGCAACAAGAAACAGTCCATCGCTGTTCCATACTGCTCTTATTCCCTTCCGTGTCTGGCTGAGGTGGTGATCACAGCTAACTAGGTACAGTTTCCTATTTGGAGGAATGGATCAAGATTTGCCCTCGGCCAAAGCATACGACAGAGGGGCTACGCCGGCAAGCGTATGCCGTCATGCGCTCCTCGAGTGAAGCCTCCTGACCAAACCTCTTTGAGTGAGACATGTTTGATCAACCTAAGGGGCTGTTGACATATCAGCTTCTGACAAGGTCCAACCAGTCCAACGAGAATATGATTCATTCCATATCACTCCCAACGGGATCCAGTTGTACCTTCTCCGGCACGCTGTTGTGTTCGACACTGTAGGTTTGGAGGGTCCACTCACTCGTACCGAACCTGAGAAGGTACCGATCCCTAGGTGCAAAAAGGTCTCACCAAGAAGAGCTTTAGTGGTTTGGGCCTGAAGTCTGAAAATTAACATTTCGACGGCCTGGTAACAAAACTAGAGTATATATCACTTTCTCCATTTTTCAGCCATGGTCAGACTGGCATTTCCTACCTCAACATGGCACACCTACCAACCCCGGACTCTTTTGGTGTATCTTTCAGATGTCGTACTTTGGAATAGCCTCGCAATTCACAAACTAATCTTCATATCTTGGAGGCAGTGGTTATACCTTCAATTAGTTACTTTAGTCTTCTTCAGAGTTTTTATGTTTCACCTAATTACTCTGCTGTTTGCCTCGATGGATATATATATATATATATATATCATTAGGTGTATATATATATATATAGTATGTGGGTGTACACCTATGCATGGCTCAAGCTGTCTGGCTCAAGCTTCTCTGGTGGCATCGCTGGGCTCTTCGCGTCCTCTTCCACCTCGCTTTCGTCTCCTTCCACGGTGGCCTCTGCGATTTCTACATGGAGACAGCGAGATATAGACCCTATCAATGCTGCCAAGCTCATGGATGCAGGAACTGGATTTGGTGTGATCGAGTCCAACAAGGTTTTTCGTGCAGGCACTGTGGCAATGAATGGCCGAAGCCTCCAGGTGGATATGCCAAGAAGCTCGACAAACGCAACTCCAGATGGGAAAGAGCACCACATCGACGGCCTTCTCCACCTCCAGGACTTGCAAGAACACGGTTTCAAAAACCCTCTATGATCCAGAAGAATGCCACTGAACTTTTGGCACCCATATGGTCAACCCTTGACGAGCAGCTGAGAGGGAAGTTGACTGATTTGGGCATCTCCCCGGAGGTCAAACCCAAAGAACCTGACCTACAGGATGTCTTGAAGGAGAACCTGACCAAGCTTCCCACTCCGGTACGGGAATTGGTGGAGAAGATCACGACCCCACCTCCCGCCTCTGAACGTGAAGTAGCGGGAAGGCTCAAGCAGCAAGTCACTGCCTTGAAGGATTTGTCACACAAGAAACACAACCTCCAGGGCAAGATCGATGCCACCAAACGAGCCTATCAGGAACTCCTGGATGAGATGAAAGCCATTCAGACCAAGATTGAGCAAGAACAGACAGCACTTAACAAGACCAGTGCCTCCTACATGGCTTTGGTCAATTCGGAGGTGACCGCAACTCCTCTCCAGTCAGATGCAACCATGTCTGACCCTGTGCCGGAAGCGGTTGCAGGCTTCATCACCAATCTCGGTGTGAATCTCACACCAGAGCAACAGTCGCAGTTGCAGGTCATGCTCAAAAGGCCGCAAACGGAGATCACTGATGAAGCAAAGCGCCGCAAGACGGACACGGAGAACGGAGAGCAGTGTGGGTAACCTTCCCTCCTTCCTCCTAGGAGGTTCTCAAATCCCTGTTGCGAATTTGGGGTTTTGTCAATTGTCTTCTTCTTCGGCAATTGATGTGGGATTCAGTCAACTTGATTGCAGGGAGTTTGTCAATCCAGTTGACAGAGCAATTGGCTCAAATCAGGGCCACACGAACCTTTCACCGCCGAGCTATGGTCCCTTGAGGACACCAAAAGTTTTTGGCGGAGCAGTTTTGAGCTCGCAAGAAGTGACAGCGGAGGCACCGTGTTCTCCTACCTCGGAGCAGATTCTTCGGAATCCTGCTGGCAACGGGACCTCCTGCAGTCATTCTCTTGCTAGAGCCTTCATGGACATCCTGGCGAAGGATGAAGATCTTCAGATTTCAGAACCTCAGAGCCAACTCTTTGAGCTCACCCAACAAGACCTCATGAACTCGTGCAACCAATTCTACCAGCCCAACAATGACTCTGGGCAGCAGCTTCTTTCAGACCTTCAAAGGCTGGAACACTTGGTGCATCGACAATTGGGTCTTCAAGGCGATCTCCCACACATCCGAGGGAACACGGGCTTAATTGCCCAGAATCTCACCTCCATATCCAGCAATTCGAGCAACCTCTGCTTCAGCAATGCGGCCTTTCGTTGCTGGGCCTGGGTCAGCAGCTTCGTGGCGGATCCATCTATGATGTGGGGAAGCCTACATCAAGCCTTCAGAACCTTCCTTGGCTCCTCTCAGTCCTCCTCGCTGACTGAAATCTCGGAGCTCCATGACATTTGGACTCACTTTGATCATGCTGTCCAAGCTGACGTCGGAGACTTTGTGGGACACATGTGGTCGATCGCGAAGCCAATCGCCATCGGAAGCAAATTCTTTCATGTCAGACCCAATGGCATCCTTGAAGAAAGAGAACAAGTTCCACTCAACATCATTGGAGGGAACAACAAAGTTGACCTTCAAACCCTGCTCAATGCATGGGCAGATGAAGCTAATGGTCAGTATCTGTATGGTCAGCCTGACTGCATCGTCCTTCATCTTCAGAGATTTGAACTCGTGCAGCAGCAATGGACGAAACATCACAGGGAGCTCGACATCCCCACCGAAGTCTTCCTTCCCTACTCCAATGATGGCATTGCGGTCGCCAAGGCCTATTACCGTGTCCTGGCAATGGTGATGCATCAAGGGGAAACGCATGACAGTGGACACTACATGGCCATTCATGCTGTTGACAATGCATACTGGTTGGTGGATGATAATTGCTTCCCAAAACCTCTCAGCGACTTGACGGAGCAACATGGGAAAGAAGTCATCCAACTCTGGCTCATCCTCGATCCCAATGATGAGATGCAGATTGACTATGTTGCTGAGGAGAGCCCTCCTCCCAAGAAACAGAAGAAGCACTACGATGAGATCAACCTGTGCTTTGCCAATGTTACCACCTTTGGGAAGAAGGTGCAAGATTGGGTCTGGTCCAAAGCGGACCACCTCCTCTTCCTCCAGGAGACTCACCTCAATCAGCACAAGTCCAACGAGGTCCTCCAGTACTTCATCGTCAGAGGCTGGAAGGGCATCGCAGTCCCTGCTGTAAACACGGACAGAGGGGGCACCACTGGCGGGTTCCTATGTCTCCATCCACCTCATCATCATGTTCATGATCTTCAGCATTTTGATCTGGATGGCAATGGATGGATGGCTGTAGGCCTTCAACGAGAGGACATGCACATCTCCATCATTCAGCTTTATCTCAAGACAGGTGAAAGCCTTCAATCGGCCACCAATGCGGAGATTTTGGCCAATCTTTTTGGGTTTCTGGACAACCTCAAGGCTCCATTCATCATCGGAGGAGATTGGCAGAATCCCCCTTCAGAACTGGCAGCCACGGTCATTCAAAGCAAGTTCAAGGCCCACATCAGAGCTTCTGAAGGTCCCACCACCTTACAGGGCAGTCAATTGGACTTTCTTCTGGTCTCAAATGAGTTGGCTGGGGCAATTTCTCTTGAGAACGTATGGGATGTTCCGTGGAGACCTCATTGCGCCCTCAGTGTCAAGCTCACTTGTCAGAACCAAGCCATTCCAGTTCAGCAGCTGCGGACCTTCCCACCCATTGGAAGAGCTCTTTCGGCTGAGATTCCTTGGACCGATTTCCCTGAGCAAAATGGACCCTTCCATATCCTGAACTATCAGATCACCGGGTTGGGCTCCGATCTTGCTAGATGGTGTACCCAGTCCGAGCTCTATCTCACACAACAGCTGCAACAGCCGAGATTGGGACGAGGCTCACGAGTTGATCTCTTCACTGCCCCACTTCAAGGACCACATCAGGTTCAACTGTGGAAGAAAGGTAGACCCGCTTTCTGGGAGAAAATGGCGGTCCGTATCAACGTCTTGCATCATGCTCCTCATGAAGGGGTCAAAAAGGACCTCCTGACCATGCTCAATAGTGTTCAGGATTACAGCTCTGAGGACCTCAACCAAGATGAGTTCCTGGACCTCATCAAGACGTGGCTGGAAAACACCCATGAGGATCCGCAGCATTTGCAGAACCTTGTCCTCTCCCAAGAACATCAAGCTCATGTCGGAGTAGCGCTGGCCAACACCGAAGAGTACAAGATCTGGCTACAGAATGCTCACTCCAAAGGTCTCCGTGGCCTCTTCAGATCCCTGAGACAGAAGGACATCCCTTGGCAGAGGCCCTTCCAGGACCTTCCACTCTGGGAACGCCTACAAGCAAGGTTGGAGCAATGGGGCAATATCTGGCAACCTGTTGACGAGCCCTGTGTCATTCGAGGTTTCCGAGAACTCCGTGAAGATGCCATCGCCCAGGCTAGGGACACGCAAGCCATCAATCCCATCAGTCTCCAACGAGTCATCAAGAAATTGCCCAACAAAGCCTCAGGTCCAGATGGGATCTCTTATGACTTCCTCAAGCAGCTCCCTTTTGAAGCTGTCACTCAACTCGCCAAACTGCTGAACATCATGGAGCAGGAAGCGCTTTTGCCCACTCAATTGCGCATGGTCAGCATTGTCATGATCCCAAAGAACCCCAAAGTGGAGAGGCCCATTGCTTTGACCTCATGTCTCTACAGGCTATGGAATCGGGTCAGGAAACAGGACATTGTCAAGTGGCAGCTGTCTCTCGACTCCATCATGCCTTGGGACCATGCACGTCCTAAGAAGGACTGCCTCTCCATTGCAGTCGGGAGGATGCTTCAAAGCGAGCTGGGCAAACACAACAATATCCACACCGTCACTTGCTTAGCAGACCTCAGTTGCTTTTATGACACTGTCACTCTGGACAACCTCATTGCCCCAGCGAGAGAACTTGAATATCCTCTTCTCCACTTGAAGCTGGCCATCGACCTTTACCGTGGTCCGCGCATCATTCAAGCCGAGGGCATCACCAGCAATCCACAGCACTACCAAAAAGGAATCCTGCAAGGGTGCCCTCAAGCACCCGCCATTGCAAAGCTGGTGCTCTACAAGCCACTCAAGGATCTGGTTAAAGATCACCCGGCCGTTCTTCTGCAAACCTGGGTTGATGATGTCTCTTACGATGTCCGAGGTCATGACCCCATCTATGTTGCCACTGAAGCTGCTCAAGCTTTCAGATCCTTGCAGCATCATCTAACTCAAGCAGGACTACGGCTCAACACGGACAAAACTGGTTTCCTCACGAGTTCCAAAGAAGCTGCGACAGCGCTGAGAGAAATCCTTGGACCTGGAGATCCTGAGCTTCATGATGTTTTCAGAGATCTTGGCATCGATGCAACTGCTAGCAAACGCAGAAGAGTTGCCATGGTCAAGAAACGCTTCAACAAAGGCAGAGCAAGGACTGGAATAGTTCACAGATTGAAGCTCAACCCGCAGATCAGGTATCGATTGCATCGAGGAGCTATTCATCCAGTCATGACATGGGGAGCTCAAGCCCAAGGACTCGCTCCACAAAGAAGACAGCACATCAGAGTCATTGCGGCCAGAGGACTCCGACTACAGAAATCGGGCTCTGTTGACATTGTCTATGACATGAACCAAAAACATCCTGATCCAGGAGACTCCATTGTTGCGCAGCATGTACACACGATCTGGAAGATCTATCACAGCTTTGACGAATCCAAGCAGCACCTTTTCAAGTCCAGCTGGAACCTCTCTCTCGCCACACTCCAGCAAGCCAAGTACAAATGGCAGGTGGTAAAAGGACCTCTTCAGGCTCTGCAAGCATATCTCTTGGACTATGGCTTCAACCTGCAGGACGGCAACAACTGGAGCAGACCGGGGTATGGAGCCATTCCGGACTGCAACATTTCTTTGGATATGATGTGGCCCGAGTTGTCCATGAAGCTCCAGGAGGAATTTCGCTGGCAACGCCTCATTCGCATCACCAAGTACAATGGATGCGAACACCTTGAACAACCATTGGATTGGACCATCAGCTTGAAGTTACAGAAAGAAACAAGCGACAAGTTGGCCATTGGTTTGAGAGCTTTCCATCAAGGAACTCTTCATGGGGTTCACGGAAACTGCCCCTTGTGCGGAACGGAGCTGACCTTTGTACATCTTCTTTGGGAGTGCAGCTTTTGGGAAGGCAAGGTCAAAGACATCCCTGATGAGTGGAAAGACCGCATCACCACCAACTCTGAGCCCGAGCTCTGGAACCGCGGTCTCTGCCAAAAGGCCTTCCTGGAACGACATGGAGGACCCTCTACCTTCATTGGCACAGGAAAATGGCAAGATCTTCATCCTTGCAGAGTCAATCATGGTCATGCTTGCTGCCTCGATGTAGCCCTCACCTGTGCGGACAAAAGACACCAACAATACACCTTTGCCATTGGCATTTTTGAGATTGCGACCAAAGAGTGTGTGGCTTCGATCACTGGCCTTTGTCCTGGGGAAGCCACTAAATTGAGGGCTCTTTTCTATGCCACCAAGCAATTGGCTCTTCACATCCTCGATCAGGCGCACGTCGGGGTCTCCAGTCTGCAATTGTGGAAAGCGTGGACGCCACATGCTGCCTACGAGAAGTTCCCTGACTTGTATCAAGGCCTGGAATTTGAGGATTTTGACACGTTGAGGCCACTCCTTTTCATGAGTCACCTCCAACAAGAAGAAGGCATGAGAACTCGGAAGGCCCTTCAAAGGTCCATCAAGGCCATGGCGCAACAGAGGGCACGAGAAGAAGTCCCAAAAGATTTCTTAGCCTACCAGAAGGCCACTGATGAGGATCTTGGTGACATCCTGTTGGTTGCTGCTGAGCGGATGGACATTCTCCTCAAGGATCCCAACCATTTCTTGAAGAAGAAGACAGAAGTTGATCCTCAGGGCCGCATCCCACTTGTCAAGCAAAAACGGGACCTCATAGCACATGTGCTTCAGAACAGGGAGCATCAAGGACACCAGTGGGAGCCTCACAGAAGCGGAGCGCAATGCTCCCAATGCAGGACCAAGATCCACGTGAAAAGCCTTCTCCAGGAGATCAAGCAGGCCATGGCCAAGGCTTGCACGGAGCCGGTGATCTTCAAGGCACCCAAGGCTCCGAGAATGACGGTGATACAGCAACTCATCGACGCCCAGGAAGAACCACAGGACGGCATCCACTTTTTGAGGCTTGACCGTGCGTACCTACGGTGTACAAAGTGCCGTTCCTATGTTCTTGCAAGAACGAATGAGTCCGCTTTTGAAGCTTTTGTGGGAGAAGTTTGCCACTTTGGACCACTCTCCCTTTCAGACTGGGCAGGTCACAAGTCGCACCGAATGCAGCGACAAGGCATGATGGCAGAATGCCTCAAATGCCACGCCAGAGGTAGGTTCGTTGAAGGACAGATCTCTGTGAGCAAGAAGCTCAAAGATCCTTGTCCAGGCGGTTCCCAAGACATCCGCCAACTCTTTTAGCACGCATTGGCACGGAAAAGAATCGTGTAAAAAAAAAGTACACCTATGCATATATATATATATATGTATGATATGAGTGTATAAATGTAAATATGTATGTATATATACACAACCCCTGAAAGCTCTTCTCACTCCGTTCCAGCGAACACCGGCCAACCACCTCCGAGGCGCAGCGGGTAATCCAGCTTGTCGCCGGTCGCGGCTTCCAATTGAGCCTCGACCACCGCCAACTGCTTGAGCGCCTGCTGCAACTTCTCCCGCGGAGTGCCTTTCAACGCCTTCCGCGCGTCCTGATGGGATGGTTTGTTGGACTAATGGTGAGCCACAGGCGAAGAATGTAACATGGAATACATCCAAGAATCACTGGTAAGTAAGGTCTTGCAAGCCTCTCTTGTCAAAGTCCATCCATGGTGACCGGTGACCTTGACCTTTGTTGCTTTTTGGAGATCACGATCGAACGTTGCCGGTCCATCGCCGGGACCATCGGGGCGAAACCTGGCGCTTGGCCGAGATCTTTGCCTCGTCTCGCTCGTCCGCGGTCCTCAACGTTTTTCCTCAAAGCATCTGAAGGCCCAGGCGCACTTCCTGAGCCCCGTTTTTTGGAGAAGGCAGGGGCTAGCTTTGCCAAGGCTTTGCAGCTGTGACAGGTAATCTTGAAAGGTTCACATTAATGCAAAACTATGCGCCTTTCCCCAATGGACCCCAGCGCTCCCCCATACCAATTCATTCAACTTCAGAAATCATTTCAGTCGAACTGCCCCGGACCTTTTGGATCCGTTTAGGGTGGTGGAGGTGGAGGGCACCTCAGCACCACGGTGCGAGGTCTGCTAGGTCACTTGGATCCTCACCACCCACCAAACGACCAAACCTCATGGCCTTGCTCTGTTCAAAGGCTCGGGGTCGCAGCGCGGACAAAACCGCCAGGCCCCCCAGGATGGCCACCTGGCAGGGTGCCGGTGCCGGTGCGTGTGGAACGGCATGGTGGAGAGAAAAAACATGCCTGGAAGATCCTCATCTGCGCGGTCTTTCGCGAGGTTCGCAGGACTTGGGGAGTGGGTGACCAGACTGAGAACAGCCATGACTCTTGCTTTCCCCATTGAGCAGCTAAGCGATGCCAAAATATTCGAAAAACTCATTGGGAACTTCGGTTCACCCGTCGAACCACCCGTGGAACCCGGCCACAGCACGGCCACAGCCACCGGCATCGCCCCACCTCCGGCAGACCGCGGCGGAGCACCTGGACCTTCCGCGACCGCCGCGGGGTGGCCGCGCCCGGTGCGGAGAGAGCTGACGGCCTTGGAAGGGGTCGAGTGCTGAGCGACTTCGTGTGGAGGTTGGTGCTTGGGGAAGGCGTAGTTCGGCGATTCCGCATGGTACTGTCTGTTCTGTCGCTCCCTTTGGGCCCACCCGATGAGTGCTTAAGTCACTCCTGGAGGTTCCAGTCCCAACCAGAAACAAGTCTGGTTGTTCCAATATGGCAATTGAATTTTTTAGGCTCAATGGCAATATGGCAATTGGGCCTGGAAACTAATGGTTGGGACTGGGGTTCCAGGCTCTTCCTCATGGCAACGCTCTCTGGGTTTCGGACCGCGGCCTCTGTACCGCGGGCGCGCTGAAGCCGTGGACGCGGCCGTGGATGCGGCCTTGGTGGAATGCGGTGCCGAACGGTGCGGTGCCGCGCGGCAGTTGAGCCGCAGGGGGTGGAAAAATCAGAGGCATTGATCTCGGGGGAGCCCTTTGAGTGAAATTGACTGTTGTCCAACTGGGAGTTCAAACCGCAATGCCTTTGGCTGGGTTGCTCGTATCTGAAACTCAATCGTCCAACCACTTAGTTCCAAGAGGGGGCCTTCGTGTAGCGAAGGGCCGGGCACGCGATTGCAACAGGCATCCGATATTGTCCGAAGGTTTAGTCGAAAATTCTTGATCAGCTGACCTGCGAGAACCTACCACACATACCAAAAAATCCTCACCACGAGTGGGCTCTAAACCTACCGAACTAAAGGCGACATTGACAGGGCCTGCCAGGAAACCAAAACAAAAATTCAGATGTGGAACGTGCCAGTTCACCACAAACCTTGCTTCCTCCAGCCACAGGCTGGGCCGAGGCACTGTTCAAGGCTGCCGCCAAGGCCGCCAGCCACGCGATCCGCGCGTTGCGCGACGCGGGAAGCGCCGGCTGGTCGCCGGAACCACGCCGGGAATCGCACGCCATGGTCCGATGGGAGAAACGTCCCATCCTTTGAGCCAAGAAACGAACAATCAGTCGAGAGACGTGAAGGGCAGCCGATTCCCATCAAGTCAATCAAGAGCACGTTGGACTCGTTGAGCCGATCTCCAAAAGTTACTGTTGGAGTGGGATGGGAGGCTCAAAGTGGGTCTGCGCGGTGTTTGTATGAAATCACACATGGCATATTCAATATATTCAATGTGCAACATACATAGTGCAACTCAACCAGCCGCATCTCCTGCCAAATAAGTGTGACCAGCTGAGTTCAACAAAAGACTTCCCCAAACTCCAAACAAAATCAACAAGTTCACACAACATGACCCATGGACACGGAACAGGAGCCTATCCTGTACTAGGACCCTCAGACCGTGAACTCCACCCCTGCTTCTGCGGAGTCTGCAGCTCCCTGGTCCCTGATAGCTGCCACAAGGTGTCTGTTTTCTACCCCTCCACCGTTCAAGCCAGCCGCCCATCAGTCTGCTATGCAGCCACCACCGGAACCACGTCATCGCGCCGGGCCGACGACGTGTGCAGGAACCCCGCGCCCTCGCCTGATTCCAAAGCTGGCAAGGAAGCGCTACGCGCGGGCCTGGCGGCGCTACTTAGGCGCTACTTCTTTCGGCCAAAGTTCGGTGTGAAGAGGGGAAGGGAAGATGAGGTTGGTCGAGGGAGGTCCAGAACTTCAGCTTTTCCATCACGGCTCATGCGGACGGTCTCAAGGAGGCGTGTAGACTCGACTCTGATTCACTAAGATCAGAGGAAGACTACAGTCCTCTACAAACAGGAGGTGCCATCCACCTCCCTATGTTAGTGAGTCAAGGTGTCCGCAAGTCCACAACGGACACTGTGCAATTTCAAGAGAAAACGAAGAAGCAGAAGGAGGAGGAGGAGGAGTCAAGTTTCTGAGAGCCCTACCTTCACATCTCTCACATCTACAGATGTGTAGAGTCTATCTGCGTCTCGTTCCAAGGGCTTCGTTCCAAGACGAGGCGCTTCTTCATGGTGAAGACCAGGCCGGACATGGGCGGCTTAAAGAAGCGCCCCGTTGTCTCCTGACGGAAAAACGACTGGTTGGCCGTCAGCTGTCAGGGTGGCCAGGTCTGGTGCTGTGGGGGTGTTGTTTGCTTCTTCACATCCGGTGAACAAAGACAGACATGAAATCCAGTTGAGAGCTTCAGTGAAACCAAGAAGCACTTCTTTTGGAGAGTGGCTGGGGGCAGGTGAAGGAAGACGACATGAACAGCATCGATGTAACACGTCACTTATCGGACGCGAAGAGAAGGTTCGACGCAAGGGCGCAAGGGCTCCAAAGGCAGACTCTTGTTGACAGGTTACACCCGTTCGACGTTCGTTCGACCATGAAAAACATGGGAACCTGGCTTTTGTGGTGTAAAGTCTCCTGAGTTGGTTCGGGATTCAGCCTATACTTTTAATAGCGGTTGGAAGTCTAGGGTACATGTAAGCTGAAGATTATGGCTGAAGTGCTCACACATAGGGAGGGTGCTGCGCACACATCACACAGCAAGACCACCGCGCGGGTCCAACCCTTTGTAAGACACTAGCGCTATATGTGGTCGTGGCTCCCTGTGGCGGAGCTTCCGAAAATGCGCGCGGAGAGTGGCATGCTGAAATCATGAAATGGGCTTTCCTTTTCAAAAGTCACGTTCGTCAATCCCTCCGAGTTCGTCACGTGCTTCTTCAGCTGAGCTTCAAAAGCCAAACGGCTGCCCTCCTGCCAAGAACATCCGACCTGGGCAAGCGACTGTTCCAGCCCGTAGGGAACTGGGTGACCTCGGGAGAGTGCTGGGGGAAACGGCCTTTACACTCAACATGCTACCTTTAGCCCACATCAATCATGCTCACATCCACCCAGAGATGGTAACCTGCAGCTTATTAGAATCCTTAACCCAATGCATTCCTTGTGGGCGCCATTGAATACTCCTCGTATCAGTGAGCCGGGAAAATTCAAAAGAATGAATGGGGGACGAATAGAAGCACCACCACTTGCTTCACAAACAGGAAGTGCACTGGGCGTTCACCCATGTTTCCCGCAGGCGCAGGGAAGCGCCCCCCCATTTCCTCGTTCTTTTCGTCACTGCGATGTTCTGGAGGCCTCCAGGGATGGCTCGGGAAGTGGCGCTGAGGCGCTTGGGATGGCCCCTTGGGATGGGTGATCCAAACAACCGAAAGCCTTCATGAGCTCAAGAGGCGTGCTACAGCCAGTGTACGGCGACATGTTTGTTGAAGTTCAACTGAGTTAAACAGTGACACGGTATTATGAAACAATCATAAACAATTGAAAGACGGGAACGGCTTGGATTCTTTGATTTGGTTCTTCCCCTACTGAGCTACCGAGGAGTGAGTGGTATCAATCTACAAACCTCACTGTACGTGTCATTCTCGCGGCAGTGGGTGTGACTCTTGCAGGGTTGGAACCCCAGGCCCACGAAAGAATCCAAGTACTGCGAGTCGAATCCGGCGCTTTGAAGATCCTGGGGTCCAACTCTTCCGTCCGCGGCTCCGAGAACTCCGGGACAATGGCCGGAGCGTGGCAGAGCCACACCCCAACTCACTGGTCTCCGGAAGGCCCTCCAACGTGCTACGAACTCGTACGAACTCCAAATGCCACGCCGCCTCCACCGGCTATGCCACGGCGAAGGCCGAGTTCCGCTTGGGCCGCGCGCCACGCTCCGCTTCCGCTCGAGCACGCAGCCGCGCGTCGTCCACCACCATGGACCGGCTCTGCCGGGTCTTGATCGTGGTGGAGGCGCGCTTGGCGCCGATCCTGATGGCTGATGCTGATGTTTACATCCATTCATCATATACAGTACTAGTTTTGGTCTCTTTACATACCAAAATGTGCAATGAGGTGACCCAACTCGCCCGGAGGCTGGCTTATCGGCACATCCATTTTGGCCAGCATCGATGTGTGGATCGATGACAACAGCATTGACTGGAGTGGGCCGGTGGGCCAAAGGTACACATGGAGGGGGTGTCCATTAGGAGGAGTCCCTCTCCTTTGCTGCTTCTGAACACATGGTCTTGTTAGCACGGCTCAAGCACACTCTGCCAATACACTTGTTCATCTTGGATAGGCGATGTATAGTGTGTATATGTATGTAAATATAAAAAACACACATATATATATATACATATATAAACATATATTACATATATATATATATATATATGTATGTGACGTATATTGGACCGTTTCAGGGTTTTCCCCTTTAGTTACGGGGGCGTACCAGCATGTACAGTTATGTTATGCATATGTTATGCAAATACTTTTTAGATCTTATGGTACAACATGATTACAACATGGTACAACTGGATTCGCGGATCTTCGCCGCAAAACTGCATCTCACATGAAAAATAGCATGCAGCAAGCATGAAAGTTGCAGAAAGAATCCGGTGAACACCACGATCACTAAAAGAAAAGAACTGCAGCTCTCCACCCAGAGCCAGGCCACTTCTGCGCCATCACCTGGCAAATGGAAAGTGGGCTTGTGGCCGTCTGGGTCATTGGAGCACGTCTTCAATTCACGGTGGTGACTTTTGATCCAGCATGATGCAGCAGATCCAATCTGCGACCTTCGTCAAACGGTCCCCCAACCCCGGTCCTTCAATCCACTGGCGGTGATCCATCTTGGAGTGAGGGTGTCAGGAGTCGGAGAGTGCTGGCTGGTTGCCTGTGGGTCACCAGGCTACCTTGCGTGTCCTACCTACCTGCAGGTAGTCGTTCGCAGCTCCAGGTGGGTCACGACCCAGCCCCACCAAGGGAACTCGTCCAACAAACAGAATGGACTACCTGGGAGGTAAACCTACCAGGGATAAAGGGGCTTCTGGCGCCATGACCCACAGCCATGTGGCAAACAGACCGCCGTTTCTGGTTTTTTGTCCGCCTTAAACTCCTCGTAGCTGATGTTATCAGCTGCAAAGAAGGAATCCTCGTCGATCCTCACGTCGTGGCAGGACAAGCGACGTATCCTCCGTAACTCACAAGTATCACTGGGAATTGTTGGCGGCCTTCCAAAAAGCCACCTGTGTGGGAAGAGACGTGAGTCACAAGTTTCGAGGTCGTGATTGATCTCTGCAAGTCAAGTCTGTCTGATGTCTGTCTGATTGCTCCAATGCCTGTTGGAGGATCCCGGACATTACAAAGCACTATTACAACTGTAGTGGCCAAATCGGGGTAGACCCTTTACTTTATATAAAATAACATCCAAAATCGAACCCTAAAAACCGGAACAGGCTCCTTAAGAACACCGCCCCATGCAAACTCACCAACGAACTCGTAATGATTCGTAATGTCTGCAGCCGCACCGCCAAAGCATAGCATGCCAGTGACGTTTGTGGTTCAAGAAGCCCTATGTGCCACAGCAGGAGGAGAGAGGTGCAACTGCTAGCTCGGCTCAAAGCATTTCACTTCAGTGGTAAGACAATTGAAAGACATGCAGGGTCCGGAAATGGCTCAAGAAAACGTCATAAGCCTTGGAAACCTTTGGCCATCGGTGCCCCGAAAAGAGGGGGTTCCGATGCCGAGATATTCCAAGTCTCTTACATACAAGTAGGTGGACCTGGTGCTTCACAAAAGCCAGTGAATAGAACAAAATGCACATTAAGATATCAATCGAAAGGACCTAAGCCGCATCCACACCAGTGATGGAATCCAAGCCCTTTCCCTTACAACATCCAGGCCACGCAAAGACCTCGTCGGCTCCCTCTTCGCCCACAGCCCTGGAGAAGTAGAGGACAGATCATTTGAGGATCGCTGGCGTAAGCAGTGACGTGTCAACAGTAAACGCCTCCATTTGTTTGGGACGCTTCATAGCCAGTGCCGGGGTACTTCAAAGACAAACGCACACAGATCGCATGCATACACAGACATACACGAGGAGCAGCCAGTGAGTTCGGGCCCAAATCCGTTTCCCTTTGACCAAACAGTGAAGCAAATATATAATTCTTCCAAAAGCATGCATCAGCCAAACACTGGTGGCATTCACCACCTGAAACAGGCCCAAAACAGTATTTAAAGTTTATAACAAGAACAGGAGCGGACAGTCTGCTCTGGGCGTCCGCAGTGGCCAATGCCGACCTTATCACACATCCACTTACCCCAAAGGTTGTTGTATTGAGCATCCAGTTTCCTCCTTAACTTATGTTTCTGAGCCACAGAGGGTGGCCATTGCCCAAACCACTGCCATTGGCCCAAGCAAGACCCCAGACCTGCCGCCATCAGGGTGCACCCGTGGCCACCCGCTTTCTCACCACCGTGCCCCACTCCCCGGACGCCCCGGACCTCTCGTGGGACGCTCCGCGTGGCCGCGCCTGATGAGATCGTCTCGGGTGATGACGCCATTGGCTTCCGGGTCCAGGCGCCGGAAGCAGGCGCCCAGCGCCGCTTCCTCGGGGGCGGCGAAGGAGCGGAGCGGAGAAGCCAGGCACAGAACCAACATCCAGCAACCCAGGCAGAAAAGGTCAGAGGCAGGTGTTGATGTCATTTTATACCATATGGACCCCCCCCCCCCCTGAGAGATGGACTGGTAGGAACTATGCGATACCAAGGGCTTTCGATCATACGTACAACGACCACCACCACCACCACCACCACCACAAACAACAACAACAAATAACAACAAGAAGGGCCATATTGTCAACCCATTTTGTCTGCTACGATCCTTGCCTGCATCTTGGTGGCTCTCTGCTCCATCGTCCATGATTATCCTAGGTCCTACTATGCTCAATGAGGTGGTTGTTGGGCCCTCTTCTCAACCCACTTTGTCTGCGAACCCTGCATGTCCCACGACCCCCGCGAACCCTCCGCGAAACCCGCGGACCCCGCGGACCCCGCGAACCCCGCGGACCGACGTGCCCCAAAACTAGACAACTGAAAACATATCCCAAACACTCCGTACAGAATTCTGACATACAGTAGGGCCCTTGAAACCACCGTCGGACCGTAGGTCATTCCCACTAGTCGTGGGGAGTTGCTTCAAGCACCAACGGAGCGGAGCGTCTTCTCGACCGGCTCGAGAGCGGCTTGCGTATGGCGTGCTGCAGAAGTCCCGCTCTGGCGTGCTTGGCATCCTGGATCCAGCTTTCTATCTGGCATATCGGAGTCGGCATTCTGGGATGCCACATCCTAGGACACATTCTTTCTGGCATTCTATGCTGGCATACCTTCTTCGATTCCAGCTGGCGTGCCTTCTGACATCCTGGCATTCTATCTGGCAATTCTTCCGGCATTCTGGAATGGCATGTGTTTGTGTCCGTGTGTGCCCAGACCGAGCTGGAGCATGCCCAGAGTGAGCTGGCCCCTGGCGCTTAATTATACAGAGTTCAGGTCCGCGCGTGCTGGAGCTCAGACTGAGTTGGCACTCCCTGTAGTGTGGGCCCAATGTGGCCCATGTGCGCCCAGCGGACGACGCTGGCCCTGGCTGTGGCATCCGGACTGAAGGAGACAAGGATGAGAAAGACCCCTCACCTGGCAGGTGAAGACACAATGGGTCCTGACTTGTTCCCCCACACATCACGCCGCCCTTCACCTTCACCGACCTCCAACTCCTCCGCCCCGTCACGCCAGCCCGGGGCTCTGAGTCAAGGATGCCGGGGCCAATGGTGGCTGCAAGCCATTCCTGGTAACCTTCCCGGGCATCGGTGGCACAGCTCTTGAAAGGTAGGTAGGAAAGTCGGTTTCTCTGTGGGCTGGTTGGAGTGGTGGGAGTGTGGGCTGATGGACTTGGATGGCTGCAGAAGTCAATGAATGATGATGTGATTGGCTTCAACTCACTTAACAAAAAACCAGCGGGTTCAATCATCCCAAGTAAAGGGTTGAAAATCCATATATCTGAAACCACCACCCCGGTCATGAATGCATGCATCCCGATGGATCCTGGTAGGTGGGCCAGATCCAAAACTTCAAGCCTGGCCGATTTATTCCAGCACCCTCACTGCCAGGTCACCACCTGCCACTTTGAAGTACAGCCTCCATGTCGGAGACTCGTAGAGTCGGGTACTGGTCTAAGTACAGTCATCTCCTAAAGCCTAGACTCTACTGTAGCGCCCACAAGGCCAGTCGATGCGGTTTGATGGTTCAATTTCGTGCTGTTTGAAAGTTGAGATGCTTGGGTTGAAATCGGACATGGCACTTTCTCATCGTTCTCTTTTTCGCGACCTTGTGGTCCAAAGTCTTCCCTCTGCAATTGGTCCCAACATACAATACAATCCCCCCCAACTTCTTCGAGCAGCTGATGACATGGTTGTGGTCGATGTCCACCGAATCAAACAAATCTCTGATCAAGTCTTCCTCAGCGACATTCAGACCACCTTGCCCCCCGCAGTCCCAAAGGTTCTTCTACCACTCACCACCGGAACCTCCTGAACATGTGCTTTTTCTGTCGGCAAGGAGTGGACAGAACCCCCAAATGCAATGGATCCAAATGGCGGAAAACTTCAACATCCTCCGCCCGAAAAAAGTGGAACGGTGGGACGCTCGCCGTTTCATTGGCAGCTGCAGCGCGTGAATCCACATGAATTCACAGTATACTTGCAATTCTTGCGCGTAGGCGTAAGATCTTGTCCATCAGCGGTAGCTTTTTTCTGGACAAAGGCCAACTCGCACAAACACTCCAGCTTTGCATAGCCGGATGGTATCATGGTATGCCATGGCCCCTCCAGCTGCAGGGGAGGCTACTTTTGTGGGGACTGCTGGAAGACTGATCTGTGTAAAGCTCCTCGAAGGGTCTTTCGGGTCATTCTTCCACCAATTGAATGAGCATATCAATGGCACACATCAAAACAGAAAAGAACTCCCGGAAACTAACATGGACCCTGAGAATGGGACCCTGAAAGACGGCGTTCCTCTACAAACCAGTGGTGTTCAGGGTCCATGTTAGTTTTCAGCCAGGTATATATATATATATATATGAGTAGCTTGGGACCATGGGTCCAAAAGGCAATCAATCCTTCTTCCCACCCAAGCATGGGTTGGTGTTTTTCGCTCCTTCCCTACAGGCACTCTGCAGACATCCACCATTTTATTACCAACCTGTGACCCCGCAACACCCCGCACGAGGGCCGTCACAGGTGTGCCCACCAGCCGCCCAGGAATTCACATCAGGCGGCTGAGATGTCGACATCATGCCTCCTGGCGAGATGTCAAGGGCATGGCTAAGTCCCATCGAAAGCCTAGCCATTCCACGTGGCCGTCCCACGGCATTCCGCAGTAGAACACCATTTCCAGAGAACGAGCAACCCATCGAAAGGCCGGGCAGACATCGGTGTCACTCCCCACCAATGCCCCACACCCAACAAAATCTCACTCAAACAATTTTTATTAACTTTTCTATAGCCTATGGCCCTATGGCAGCCGCTATCATAAAAACACACACTCCCCGAAATCATCATGGAAGTGGAAAACAATCTGTTTGTAAAGGAAAATTAGTCATCCAAGGGCGCCATGCCATCCACTTCCATGATTATTTCAAACATTTCAAGGAGCGTACAGCCACTGAGTCCATCCACCCCATTCTCCCCGGTCGCCTGAAGCCCTCGATCAACTCGGACACATCCAGCACGCCCTGCTTGGAGGTATCAAAGGCCCGGAAGGTCCTGCAACCGCGGGAGAACAACAGCTGAATCATCCACAGCAAACCCGGCAACCGCCCTGGGAGGGCCACTGGGACAAATCCTAAGGACGAGCGACAAGAGGCGACTATGACTAGCGACATCTCGTGACCTCAATACGACCGTAAGTCTGCGCAAGGGTTCAGGAAACACTTCTTTTGACATAGGTTGCACGCCGGTTGCACCTGCCCAACCAGGTCCTGTCCTTACCTTTCCCCGGAATGGGCCACACGTCAACACTAGGCTTTCCAAGTCATGATGAACCCTTCCACCACCCTCCACCTTCATCGGAACCCACCGCACCCACCCCTCCTCCGGAGAAGCTCCAGCTTGGCGTCCGGCGCGTGGTCAGCGACCAGAGAGACGATCTTCTTCTCGAGGTTCGTCAGCTCTCCGAAGGTCCCTGGGCAGGCACGAATCGAATCCATCCTGGATAGATAGATAGACTCCTCTGAAACAATACACTGGGACGCCCAAAAACGGGCTGGGAGGATCGGAAGCTCTTACAGCTTTGCTCGTTTCACTGGCAACAAGACGATCTCTCCGGCGGCCCGTGTCCGCCTGCCCGGTCCACGCACGTGAAACACAAGTCCAACTCCGGGTGTCTGGTGCGTCCAAGCCGCGGAGGTTGTACAGCAGGCTGCCGCGTTCCAAGAGCTCCGCCGAGGCCGAGATGGCGGGGTCCGAGACGGACATCCAGGGATCCTGGGACGGGTGGACGGTGGACCCGCTAGGAAAGGGGAGACGGGACGAAGTCGGTGCGTCCACCAAGCAGGTCCAAACCGAACGGAAAATGTTTCAGAGCATACTACATACCTTCGACTATACATTCCATATACTTTCCAGCCGTGTCAGGGTCACCCAATGGAAGTCCCTGCACTACTTATGGGACAGGACACACCTTGGATTGGAAGATATAGATCTAGGATGATCTAGGTCTGGTGTTCCACCGGGCGATCTGAGGCCGTGTGGACCTCAAAGGCGATTCGCCCGAGAACACCGGGGCCCACGATGCCGGACTTGGGTCAGGTCGGTGTCCCCCAAGACGAGATGGAGGACCGCTGTTGGATGGAGGTGTGTGGGGGAGGTTGGGAGAAAAACGCGTCCTTAAAAAACGAAAAACTCGTCCAAACAAACACGAGAAAACATCATCGGCCCCAAAGAAAAGGAAAAGCCGAACCTCCGCTGGAACCGCTCCACTCCTGTAGGATGGCCGCAGCGCCGCAGCGCGCGGAGGGCTGGTAGACCAACACCTAGAAGTTGCGCCACCGGCCACCGTGTGCCACAGCCAAACAGGAAGCTTGAAGTTCCTACTAACCTACTAGCAGTGCCACAGGATTGGTCTGTAGACCCCAAGCGTGGATGATCATAAACACACTCCAGCGCCCCAAGTGGAACTGCTGGTCACTCCATGTTTTGTGGGGGGCCCTACTTGTCACACACACCCTAAAAGTCCTGATGGTTTCCTCTGCTCAGTTTCATTTCACCTTGTCCTTCTGACTGGCTTTCTACCAGATCTCCCACCTCTCCCACCTGCCCGTCCGACTCGTCGGAGGCTTGGAAAACGGCCCGGGCCCTCGACCCCTGCGCCTTGTCGAGGATGCTGCCCACCGTGGGATAGCTCGCAATCAGCGCACGGTTCCACGGCACTCGGTCGCGGAACGCGTTGTACCTCGCGTGACGAGCCCGATGGCGCCGGTCGCGGCGCCATAGCGAGCGCCGGGTGTGTAAGAAAGGGCGAAGGATCAAAATGATCAAATCATTTCGACAGGGTTGTGACGTGAAGACTGAGGTTTGTTTGGGTTGTGATCGGTTCATTCTACACCCTGGTGTCGGCGATCCCGACCCTGAAAACCACGTCGCTTGGGGGACGAGGAAAACGCTCGGACCCAGTGGGGCCAGACAGGAAAAGGGTCTATGTGAGTTGACTCGGCAGTCGGGTCCTCAACACACGCCGGGCGCCAGCGCACAGGTCGATCCAGCGGACATTGAACTCTTCGCCATCCTCGGGCTCCAGACAGGGATGCTGTAGGGAGCCCAGCCTCGCGATCCGCTAAGAGCGGGCGGACAGTGAAGAGCGCGCCCTTGCACGTCAAGCAGGGCGAGGCGCAAGGGTCGTGGCTGGTTAGAGGTCAGTTGAAGGCTGCTTTTTGGACGTGTTTCACAACACAAACGGCACTTGCGCACTCTTGCTGTGCACGGATGCTACAGTGTATGGTTGCACTTAGTGTTTCCACCAGTTCAACACCAGTCGCGCCCTTGTGCGGGATGTGCAATTCATCGAGATAAAAACATATGGATCTCCTCCCTGCCTCTCGGCATTTTGTCCAAGAACGGCCCGAGCACGGCCCATGCAACCCACGCATAAACCCTCTCCCAGATTCGGAAGCCAACAAAAGCCACGATGCTCCGACTCCATGCTTGATGCTCGAGATTGGGCCGAAGGGGCTCCAGGGCAGTGACGATCCACGTGAAGATCACACCCAAGGCCCAGATGTCGGTCTGCTGATCCAGCTGGGCCTTCAAGATTGTGACGACGGCTTTTCTTTTGGGGGGGGGCAGGCAGGGTTTAGGGAGGAGCAGAAGCAGAAGAAGAAGAAGAAGGTCTGCCACGGGGATGGGGTGAATGAAGACAATCACTCTCTGAATGTCTGACTAGTGAGGCGATGGGTTCATGATTTGTCTTTCCTGCCACTGGTCGGAGGGTTCAGGACAATGGGCGTCAATGTGCAACCTCTTTGTTACATGATATGCAGTATGGGTGCCTGGCTCAAAAAGTGTGCCACCGGGTTTGGGACGTGGTCCTTGAGCATATGAAGCACAAGCATGTACAAACATCATCAATCATCAAACATCTCACCGTGGTTGAAAGGAGAGTCAGAGGTGGAGTCACGGCATCGCTACAGAATCAAAAATAAAAAAAAAACGTGGTTGTTGATGTCCATGCCATACACTACCCCCATCTCATCATCCATACATCAAAATCCATCAAAACTGACTTCAACCTCCACATTTGCGCCTTCACATCGGTGAAGGTCTCAGGTGCCATAAAGACCATCGTCCCCACCGCCAAGTGCTCCTGCCAGTCAGTGTTTCCTCTAGCAGCCCCCGCCAAGAACAGGCAAAGCTGTCACACAAATGAATGGAGCCCCCAAAACACCGCTCCAGCAGCTACTTGCAAGATACGGCATCAGGAACCAGAATAGAGAAGGTGATTGAATGACCCCAACCACGCCTATCATGGATTTGGTATGCAGAAGTGAGCCAGATTGGTGTTAGAGTCCAGGTCCGCTCGCTTTGTCTTGGCCTATGTTAGGATCGCCATCGGATGACATCAGGATTGCTACTTTCAGAAACCCAAAAAATCACCATATATGAACCAGGTCGTTGGAGAATCGGTCGGATGCCTCCTCGTCCCTTGCCCTGCCTCCTGATCCGTTTTCAGGGAGGCTAACCCGAAATCAATGAGCCTGGCACCGCTGCATCGCATGGGGAACCCGTTCGCCGGCAAAAACGTGTGTCGTGCTCAGAGTGGGGGGAGGTCACAATTCACATCTGCTTTCCCGGATTTGGAAGACTCGTTACAGTGGTTTCAGAGTAGATGGCACAACAACCTCAAGAAAGAACCTCAAGAACCGCACCTCCTAGCAGCTCCCCCCCCCTGCGGCGGGGCTTCTCCGCTTTTTTTTCAGCCACACCGGGAGCCCCAGGGCTCCCGGCCGAGCAGTGCTGTGCTCGGTGGCATCGGCCAAAAGGATGTTCTCGGGCTTCCTGGGGCCATCGACCCGAGCCGTGGCCGTCCGACGCACGGGAAACGGTGGATAGCGTCACAGGCACCGGTGGCCAAATGAAGTCTCCGTTCCCGTCTAGCCGGGTGTCCCTTCCGGACAGGACCCGCACCACGGGTACACCCCGCCCCCACCCATGGCCCAAGGCACAGGTCTCGATGGACCACGGGAGGGTCCATGCCGTGGAGGTAGCTGATGGCATACGTGACCTCACGGAAGTGCCTCGAGATCCGACCCGTACGGGGTCGGACGAGCCGCCCTTGCGTCGCGGGCGTCTCGGCCCATCTGTCGTTCAAAAGGAGTGGTGATCACGCGGAAGCGTCTCGAAGAATGTTGGTGCAGGAAGCGCTGGCGCATACTCTGTTTTTTCGATTTTTGGCGCCAACATCTGGCAAACACCTTTGATGGAAGCTTCTCACTCCAGGCAAGAAATCCATCATGATCGATATACAGATACAGATGATATTATATACATAGTACGTAATAGTACCATATAGTACCATACTCCTCCCACCATCTCTGGATTCCCTCCTCACCTCTTCCCATCCACTAGAAGTAGAAGGACAAAAATCACCTTCATCCTCCAAGCGTCCGCCGCAGCTTGGGCAGGAAGCTTCGCCTTGAGACCTCCGGTTGGCGGCATACATCCTGCACGCAAGGCACGCAAAGTGCCCTTTTTGCGCAAATGCCCAAGCGCAAAGCTTGGGTGAGCCAACTATATCATGCTGCAGTGTCGAGTGGAGTGGAGTGGAGTGGAGTGGAGCGCTCGCATACCCAGCTGCACTGGCGAGAAAACAAGCCACCAAACACGCGGGGATGAAAAAAGGACAGGACACTACGGGACCTCATGAACAAACAACAAAAAACAACAAGACAGAAACAATACCAAAAAAATACCAAAAACAACTTCATTGAGTGGAACAAGAAAATACAAGAAATTGGTCAGAAAGTGTCTCCTCTAGAATGGATTGCAGGGACGGGCCCGAGCAAAGCTCCATGACGAAGAAAATGCCCTTGAACAGGTCTTCAAACCACTCGCGAAACCTGAGCAGCATCGAATCCCAAGGACGAAGCTTGAGCCAAGCGGAAGTTATTGGAGGTTCTGTACAGCCCTCTCTATTGGGGAGAGAAGGGAGAAAATCAGTCGAAACAAAGAATGTTGAAGAAAACAATCACAGCACCTACATAGCAAACAAACCGACATAGTGGGAGGTAAGTGTAGTTCAATGGTCCTCAACAACACGTGCATCCACAATCATCATGGCAAGGGGGGGACGCCACCCCACGCAGAGTACAAACCCAACCCAGCCGTAGGCTTACCAAGTGCACAGTGGTACTTTTCAGGGCAAAGCACATGCAAACACGTGCCGTTTGTGGTGTGGGGGGTCCCACATGAACCAAGAGCAAACGGTGCGTCTCCAAAACCAAGAACGCCGAGGCGCTTGATGATGAAGGGGTTGTCCAGGACCAAGAGCAGCTTGAGCTCCTTGCGGATCGCCTTCTCCGCCGCACGGTTCCGAAAGAAGCCATGCCTGAGAGAGGGCGTGGCGCAAGAACCTGAGCTCTTGCTAAGCAACTACTACTCATGGAAGTCATTAACATGGAAGTGGAACACCATCTGTTTGTAAAAGAAAAATGTAGAACATGGTCTTCCAGTGGCCTATGTTCCACTCCCATGACTACTTTTGGGGAGTGCAAAGGCCCTCCACCTTCTCCACGTTTGTGGGTCAGCTAACCTCCCAAGAACAACCAAGATCAACGAAGAGCCCATGTGGAATCTAGAATTGCTCGACATTTGCCCTGGTGTAGGTGCAAGTCTTTCCATCTCCCTCTAACATGTCCTTTGTTGGACCCTATCCATGCACCCGTCGCACCAAGGAGCCAAATGGCCCGCCATTTGATCCTCGCGATGTGAGGCCGTTCGTACACATCCGTCTGCCGGCTCATGAAAAGCCAATGGTAAGGACGTGTGGATGTGGCTAAGAAATGCTAAGAATTTCGAGTCGGGTAGTTATCCTTAAACAAACAATCCCTAATGTTTATAAAATATGTCTTGGAATTTGCATGTTGTAAAGGAAAAGGATCTGCATTTTATAAGCCCACAATCACGGGGGATATTAAAACAGCCAACCCTGCACTAACATTCAACAAACTCCTTAGAGGTTTTTCCATTGCAAAATATTGCAAGGCCTCTTCCCATCCACCATCCAACTACCCATCACCCATCCACCATGGCCGCCGTAATACCCGCCATAGCCATTGACCAAAAAACAATAATCTCCGAACCAATTGCGCACCAATGATCTCCACAAGCGCCTTTCAGCTCCTGGACAAAGCCATCCACCGTACCACGCCGCCACCCTCCTCCACCTACCCCACCACCGCGGCGTCCGCTGCCGCGCCAGGCGTCCGCTTCACCGCCACCTGCTGCTGGGAGCCTTTGATGCGCCACTTGGCCACCGAGCCAAAAGCGCCCTGGCCGCGCGCGCGGGTCTGCTGAATGGCTTCGTGTACTGTGTACGCCGACCATCATGCTGCAATCTGCATATGCTGGCACTTACGTATGTTGGCATACGGCATACGGCATGCCTGCCTGGTATGAGCATTTCGGCCTTCCAAATGATCCTGGGCACTTATGAACGCTTCACATCGCCCTGCTCTCCACCTCTTTGGCGCCTGGCCTCGCCCAGCTTCCGTTCGAAGTCATAGAAGGCGGTGATTGGGCGGTACTGTCCCCGGATCTTCCTCGCTCGGTGTGTGGGTCACGCTGGAGCAGCGCCAGGCGGCGGATGCGGTGTGCGAAACGTGCACCAAAGCGCACCCTAGCCGCCCTAGCCACGGACTAAGCCAAGCAGCACGGACGAACCAACCAGGCATACAAACGCCGAGCGCATCCATCCCCAGAAGAATCAGCGGTCGTACCAACAACTCCCTTGAAAAGGGAATGCGCACCATATGGACCAAAGACCTTCCTTCAACCCCAAGGGCCAACCCCCACCCTGCCGTCCCTTCGCCCGTGCCCCCACCGGTGCCCGCACGCCTGCGACGTTCCCCGGCCGAGCGGCCAGAGGTCCATGATGCTGGTCGCCCGGTCGTGCAGACTCAGCTGTCCGAAGTCCAACTCATCCGCCTTCAAGCGCTTCCTGGGCGCGGGCCGAAGCCCGTCGGGATCCATCGAATCCCTCCCGGTGAAGCGAACGAACTCCAGCTGTTGGAGTTGATACTGGGTGTCTGCAGTGTCCCCCATCCCATCCCCAGCCTAAAGGCTGGTGATCCATGATTTTTTGGGTGGGAAGGCAAAACCGGGGCCAGTCGGAGGTTGGTCGGAGGTTGGTCGACTGGATTGGCATTTGAAGGTCCAGGAGAGACAGTAAGTCTCAGTAAAATCTCCTAAATAGGAGCTACATCAGCCATGCGCAATGCAAACACAAGGACACATCAAGCATGTTTAAAGCGTAAGGCGAGCCATAGCCTAGTCGAAGATTGCCCCCTTTCACTGGCACACATCCCATCCAACACTGATGTTCCTCTACTAGCCCCCGAATCATGGAAGTGGACAATGACCCCTTGGAATCTATTTTCCTCTACCTTGTCCACTTCCATGATGTTGCAGGGAGAGAAACCCAAACAGCTGTTGCTACCTGCTTTCACCTCGTAGGCCTCTCTTTGCAAAGCCCAGCTTCGGTGAGCTCATCATCCGCTGAAGGTGGCCTCAGGCGTGCTCATGCAAAGGACGAAGCCTTCAAACAAGTACTAGCTCTTCAGAAATTGTGAAAGCAATGGAAACTGCAGAAACCAACTGCAAACATTCCGGACATCAAAAATTAATTTTTGAAAAATCCTCTCTCTCTCTCCCCAGACTCGCCCAGTAAGAACAGCCCAGTGGTGAGAAAAGAGACAGAACCAGGTCACCAGCTTAGCAGCTCCGCTCCGCTCCGAACCACCGAACCACCGGCTCCGAACACGACTCGCACTGAACACGACTCGAGGGGCGGAAGTTCTTGGTGAATTGGCTCGCGCTCCAGGTGCGGGACCGCCTCACCATCGGGCTGTTCGAACCTGCCCGCCGCGACGGCCGCATCCCAACGGAGCACGACGGCGAAGGTGCGTTCGCGCGCGCGGACGGTGAACTGCGCGGGGCACGGCGGTCGGAAGTCGGAAGCGCAAAGGGGGGCGGCCTGACCTCCAGCTGACACGAAGGGATGAACCAATGAATCCATCTAACTGGTTGAAACGGGACCAAGCAAATCCCCTGACATCCACCAGTGGCCACCCCTAGCCCTTTATAATCCCACCGAAGTGTCCCACCGACACCCTGAGGCCTATCTCGTGGCCGTTCCCCGACGTCCCAACCGACGCCCGGACCACGCCTGGCGAGTCCAGGTCGGGCTCCGAACGCAGCCGCAAGTGCCTCGGCCGGCGACGCTTCGGACGGCGGGGGCGTTGCAACGAACCTGACCGGGGGGGGTCATGGAGCTCAGACCGAGGTGAACGGGTCTGCGGTTTCTTTTGGTAGGTCATAGGAGGTTTGATGTGGGAGGGTGCCGGAGTGTCTCAAAGAACCCAAGGAAAACCCTCCCAGGGTCCGTTTCTCCACCATCGACTTGTGTGGATTTAGCGGCTGGTTTAAATGGAACTCTCTTCTTTTTCTTCCTGCTTCTGGGGCCTTCTGGGGATTTCTGGATGTCCTGCGTGTCTCTCCACAAACAGGATCAAACAGGGACATCTGCAAACCACAATCTGCTTGCAGAACCGAGGTCGTCTTGGACCAACCGAGGTCGTCTTGGACCAACCAAGGTCGAGTTCCATCCGCGTCGCCCCGCGTTGCCATCGTCGGCATAGAAGTGACGCGCACGTCCCTGGGCGCGTCGTTGGTGCGGCGGTTCGCCGGCCAGCGGCTAAGGTGGCAGGATCTCCGCTTGATTGTGCGGTCAGCTTTGGTGGGATTCTTCCAGCTGAACAGGAGGATTCTTATGGATTCTTCCTTGCTGGTTACTCATGGACTTCAAAAAAGGCTACGAAAAAGGGCTTAGCCGATCCGGCCAGCACGGATGTCTTTGTCTCGTCACCGTCGTCGTTCGACCGGGAGAGGTTTGCGAGGTTCGTTCCGCAGCCCTGGTTGCAGAACTCCTCGACGCATTTGGAAACGAAACGCGTTGTGTCGTTGTGTGTCAAAACACGCGTTTCGTTGATTCATTTGTGAACCTTTGACGCAAAACAAACAGCATGTGCGAACCTTCAATATTGCTGGCATTCCACCGTATTCCACCTAACATCGTTCCACATTACAATGCAATCACAAGCATGGTGGAACCCATGGTCTGAGGATGTCTGAGTCTGAGGAAGGTTTTGCTTAAAGGGGGCTGTCGATGAGCACATTGGATGCTTGGGGGGGCAAAACGGCCAGGGGGGTCATGCCACACACCCTGAAGGGAGCAATGTCCAGTCCGTTACGCCTTGAGAAAGCTGAAGCAACAGGCATCATCGCCGCAATCGAAGAGTCGAGCCAGTAAGGTCTTCATGGCTCATACTGTTACATGGGCGAAATCCGGTCCCACCTACCTGCTTCCGAATGAACCAGGAACGCCGTTTGGATGTTTGATCTTTGCGGGGTTTTATTGCTTTGGATATACAGCGTAGCTAGACTTACATGCGGTGCGAGTGGATTGCGGTGCAAGTCTATATAGGACCGGACGCCGCCCGTCAACAGCAGCTGGCTCTTTGGCACAGCCAGGCCATAGACGTGCTTTGAAAGGCCGACTCCGAACGGCCCACGTGCCTGAACTGGATCCCGGATCCATTGGTCCATCGAGCAATGAAGAGATGAATTGATGAAAGAAATCACCCGTTTCCATCCAAAGAAAATGAAAGTAGAAGAACCACCGTATGATGAAGATTGACCATCAATATTTCTGAGTGATTCTAGCTTCCACCAATGAACCAAGGAAGCTCCACATGAGCCAGGGCCATCCACCAAGAATATCTAAGAATGAAACACCAACAGGACATTCCTGAGAAGGGACATCTGAGCTGTTCTTAATGGGGGCGGGCTTATATAGCCGCTAGCCATGCAATATGTATATAGCTATTCGAATTGCTTCACGTCCCACAGGCGAAAGACACTCGCCGCTCTTACGGTCCTCATCTGCTCTGACTTCTCCGATGTGCTCGGGCAAAAAGCAGGAACGAAACGAGGAACGGAGTTGCGGAGTTCGGCACGCGACCTCATTCGGTGCGGCACACATGTACTTGTCCGTTCTAATACAAGAAACGCCATCCAAAACGGTTGTGAGTTTTGGGCGTTTCAATCATAAGAAGGCGAATTACCACCCCTTCTCAGAACAGAAAGAACACCAAAACTGAAACTCTGCTGTAGTTGTGTGGCCCACCCTGATTCCAAATCGGCACAAGGAAGTCCTGCAGGAGAAGGGACTCGAAAAAGCCATTGAAATTGCAACCCAATTGGTCGCGCTGTCCCGTGCTGTTAGCATGCCTTGTTTCTCAGTTACTCTTGAGGGAGCAGCTTCAATTTCCTCGCAAAAACCTGAAAAAACCTTCGACCAACCCCTGAAGACCAACCCCGGAAGCCGCGAAAAACTCAACGCCATGGGCCGCAGGCCCAGCCACCGCCCCCATCTCGTGCCCATGTGCTCGGTTCCCCACAATACCGCCGGAGATCTTACCCGGGATCAAGCCTCACCGGCACGACGCTCTACCCCGCCGGAGTCCAGGCGCTGGGGAATGTGAGGAGGGGGAGGGGTGATCGAAGCGATGAGCATCTGCGGGACCAGTTCTGGAAATGATGAAAAACAACTTCTGGCCCTTTTTGGTGCACTTCAGACAGCTAAGTAGGACTTTCTGCAGCATGGCGCTGACAGAAGGCTTCTAGGCATTTTGACTCGCATTTTGGTGCCTCAGAGGCCCTTGCTGGTCATCTCAGACCTGACAGATGCCTCGCCAGACCAACAGCAAGCCCCGCGCCCCACGTGGACCCCCCCCCTGCGCGCCACTGTAGCCGGCGCAGGCGGTGTAGGCCTGAGCCGAGGAGAGGTGAGAGATGAGGCGAGTCAAGCTGAAGCATCACATAGTTGGGTGAATTGGGTTTTTCTGCTACTCTTGCAGTAATTAGATTGTGGATGATTGTGGGATCTTAGATTGTGTGGGCGTGGGTGGCCCGACATGACATGACCAATGTTTCAGGGATTGCCATCAATGAGGTTGCACTCCCCTCGCCACTCCAAGCCATCCCACATCCATTCCTTCCATCCTCCGGACTCGCGGTCCTGTCCACGCCGAGGCGCCCTGTCCATGCTGGGCAGCTTCTTCTGCACCGGATGCGCGGCGCGCTCCTTCGCCTTCTTCCTGACGCAAGGAGCCGAGTCAAGACCGAGACATCCTCCAAGCATCGGTGGATCGAAGGTGAAAGCCTTTTTCGCTCGTAGGGTGGAGGCCAGCTGCCAGGTAGGTTGGGAGGCCAGGCTGCACTGTAGGTTGGGAGGCCACTGCCAGTGCCGGTTCCTTGAAGTGTCTGCTTTTTCAATGCTCTGCCAGCTACTGGTTGCTCCCTGCATATTCTTTCCGTCCTCATGGTCTCATAATGCAGCTCCATGAGCCCGGACCTGGACGGCGGGTGCACAGCACCAGAACAAGAGATAGAGAGATACACAACCTCCCCAACTACCAAATGCACCTTGAAGGAATACAAGAAACCTCCATGGCGTTTTCAGTGGTAAAAGTTCAATTCATCAATTAAGGTCTTTGTCTAACCTGACTTCCCTTGGCGAAGCTTGCTAGCGCGACCGGACAACCTCAAGGCAACAGGTTCCCTGTCTGAAATCCCACTCAGAACCGCATTCACGTGACTCGGGCATGTGCCGCGCGTATGCGCGCGTCACGTAAAGGACAAACCGCGCTCAGCGAGTTCCTGGGCGCCCAGCGAGTTCCTCAGCGCCAACTGGTGACGCGAAGGCGCCAACGAGCGGTTCTGCAAATATTCCTGGACACAGCGGTTCGGTGTCAGACGGAGAGATTCGAAAGTGAAACTCCTTCCAACACCATATTGGATATTATCACATTATATATAAACGCTATGTCTATTATATATATATATACATATGTGTGTGTGTTTATAGTAATATATACTGTATATATCTGTATACAATAAATACAGTCTCAACAGAGTGCTACATGTTTGGCAGGAGTTTAGGGTGTTGAAGTTTCTCGCATGCAGGCGTCGCCCCTTCGGCAGTGCCCCTCAATTGAGGATCCCGAAGAGAATCTCTGAGCCACCTCCATGCGCGGAATGATATCCTTTGAGGCCCGTGGTCTGAAGATCACCACTCCTCCCACCAGGAGGAAAACGATTGGTGTGGGCCATGGTGTAGGGAGCCTACTGGCCAAGGTGACGTTCACCTGCTAGCGGCCAAGTATGGCCAAGTCAATGTAAGCACCTTCATGCTATCACATCATTACAAGCCAACCATCACCTAACTTCTAAACGTCTCTCCATGTCTCTCCACTGGCACTAAGCGGTCATGTCCACTAACTTCTCCTCCAACCTTTCCCCGCTTTCCATGCAGGCCCCCCCCCAAACCATCACGGTTCAAGCACCTCAAAGGCTTCATTCTGCTCGGCGTACGCGGGAGGGAAGCGCTCAAGCTCCTCCGTGCCCTTCCAGAAGTGCGTCTTCTGGGGATGGTACCTGCCAGTGTTCGAGGGAAGCAGACCTCGCGTCTCACCGCGCGCACCGGTGTCGGTCGAAGGGTCCCGATCACCTTTGGGGCGTGTCCCCGATCGTCGGTTTGGAGCGGCGCCGTGGTGGTCCACATCGCCCGCGGAAGTGGGCACTTCTCAGGTCCGAGGGCCAGCACGGTGTTGCCACGGTTGAAGCCTCGGTGAAGACTCGGTCGAAGTCGGGGGTGGGTGGAGCTGGTGCGGGCCCAACCCCAGCATCCGATGGGTCTTGCAGACGGCGTGTGGTCTTTTGGGACCCATGAGCCCTCCGATCCCCCACACTTCTGTCACTCGGAAGGGGCTGGGAAGTGCTGAAGGCACCTGTCTGCTTGCCATCCTCCACCTTGAATCAGCCAAGCTGCCCATGCCTTCTTCGACTTCAAACGGCTTGAGGCGGACCGCTGGAAGGGCTTTGATCTGAACCAAATGGTCTTCGCGATGGTCTTCGTGTGACGAGCCGCCTCGGTCTTCTATAGTTGTCCTTCAGGTCGTCCCAGCGTGTCCCTGAAAATACGACGTTCATGTCCACCCACACAACTTGCGCACCGATCCTGACCTCCGAGTCCTTCCCCATTAGGGGGTACTGGAGGATAAGCTGGACAACAACTCAAGTAACTACCCCTGTACCAACCACGTCGGAGGTCTATCCGGTATATCCCCAGGTCAACCGAGACGCGAATTAAATGAAACTACGAATGCGACCTAATTCCCAATTCACGGATCAAGCGGAATGGTATCCAAAGACTGTTTCAATCTAAGACATTTGTTCACTCGCTGGTACAAATTGTGCCGTTTCATGAACGGAAGTTCCGACGGCATAGACTCTGTCATAATGGAGCATGACAGATTTGGCAAAAAGGGAATACGCAGATTTAGTGGGTAGGGTTGCCCTGGAGAGGAAGCGTAGTCTTTCAAAATTTGCATAGCTTAGCTCCTTTTGAGGGAGGTTGCGTCTAGATGCAATTCCCCCGTGCTTGGTCTGAAAATACGACGTTTTCATGTCCAGAACTTGTCCTTTATGTTGTTTTCACCTGCGATGCTCCCCGGACCAAAACACCCAGAACTCCACTCATCTCCCCATCCACCTCTCGCTCGAACCCCGCAGCGCAGCGGGTCGGTCGGTCCTTTTTCGCCCCCCGGTCTTCTGCCGGTCTTCGCCCCACCGACCCGATTGGTTGGCCAGTGGGTCGCTTCGTTCGGCGTCGCTTGAGCGTTCAAGAGGCGTCGAGCTTTGTCGGGGCCCGCTCCCCGGAAGTCAAAAGCACCCCGGAACTGAGCCGTTCCGGAGTCCCCAAAGGGGAAGCCCTGAAAACGGCGGTGAAGGGTTTGGGATGGTTTGGGGATGGTTTGGTTGGTACGTCCTCCTGGTGCGGTGAAGAATCACGGTGAATGCTTTGGGCCTCTCCATGCAAGTGCAGAGTGCAGAGATGTGCTGAGTAAGATAGACTAGAAATCCGTTGGGCTCTGCCCACTCTGAGAGCATCTCCAACTATATTATATAAATATTGCAGTATGCCACCCAAGTTAGTTTTTGCATGGTTTTGGTCGCAGGCCAGGTCCATGCGTCCAGCTCAGTTTTTCGGCCATTGTCAGCTCATGTTCCCTGGTGCTTTCGCGGGAGTGGTTCAAGATCTATGCTCGATGTCTGTACCAAGGGCCAATGCCTTAGTCGAGCAACTGCAGCCACCAACGACACGACCACCTCTCCCCTCCCAGCACCCCAAAACCATCTTGCTAGGTTAAAACACGGTATTGAAACACCTCAGAATGTTTGGGGAACCAAGCTGAGAATTGCCACTATCGGGCGAAACACCTCACAACCTCCAACTGCCTGAATCATGCAAAGCACCTGGCCAACAAAGGTGTACGAACTGTTTTCTCTTTTCACCACCCCTTTAGTCATCCCACCCGAGGTCTGATGCAAAACGATCCACTTCAAAGGCCCATGGCAGAAAAAGGGCAAGCAATGGAGTTCGCCAGCCTGGTGAGACATTCGTTGAACAGTCTAGCACATACTCCCAGAGTTGAAATAATACACCATGGACCCGGAGAATCGACACATGGTTTCGACCTGTTTCCTACCACAACCCAGTGTTGTTGGGGTTCTTCCATGTCCATGTCGTTTCGTGGACTTCGCCAGCTGCTTGGAAGATCATCCGAAGAGATTTGGGGCCCGGACCCTCATCGTCACATCGAAACCACGGGACTGTTTTCATATCCAGTCTACTTCAAAAGTTGGGTGTTCTAGAAGTTATCGGATGCTCCGGGCAACCGATCCCGGAGCCATGGCAGCGGAGTTCTATTATCCCAGAAAGAGGAGGATCAGCAGTTGGGAGTTCCATCGTTCCGGTCGTGAAGGGGAGTTCCAGCTTTTCCTGTGACTCCCACCAGCGGAGCTCAACCGCCCCTGTCCTCCACCGCCCTTTCCAGCACAGCGGCTCAATCCTTCCTGGCGTCGCAGGTTTTGTGGGGAGGGCGAGGGACCAACTTGCCAGGCGTTTGGCTCATCCAAGCATCCGTGAAAAGCACGCATTGGAACCTCCAAAAAGGGAGGTAAGACTGAGAGAACGAGTCGTACCAGTTGTAAGTTAGAAGCCCTTCCCTGAGAAGCGTTCTTGCAGGTTATTACGTAAGAGTTATATTATTGGTGATGTCTTGTCGCAAGTCTTGTCGTTCATCTCATGTAGCTCCAAAACTGCCTCTCTCCACTCCCATGGCCCCGTGTTTCACGCTCGACACTGTCTCGCCCCCCTCCGCCTGCATGCGCGAATCGCCTGGTGCCGCGCCAGCAGCGCAGACAACGCCGAGGAATAGGACCAAGTGAGGTCCGGCACCCCCGCCTGCTGACCTCAGCATCCACGGCGAGGTCCGTAGATGGACGCGGAACCATTCGAGGAGTACCATAAGCTTACTTTGTACCTATTTTTTGTGAATCTTTGTGTGATGTCCCAAACTTTTGGGAGTCACCCTGCCGGTCATCCCTTCTCATCCCCTTCTCAGAACTCCCCAACACTCACTCGTGCACCGCCCGATGCACGACCCGACGGCCTCAGGTGGACGAAGACCTCTAAGACAGGCTGGAGGGGGGAAAAAGACACTCTCCTTAATGTAGACTCCGTTTCTTTTGAATTGGATGTCCTCTTCATATGGGGGATCTGCAATCAACAGCTACCTGCTTTGAACCTACAGTACAGTAAAGAAAGCCAAAGTCGCCTGCATCTGGACCACTTTTCTTGATCTCTTCAGACATGTGAACTCCGGGCATGATGACGTGCTCCTGGCACGAGGGCATCAGGCCCAGCTGACCTGATAAGCCCATGGACCATGGAGGACGACCGCCCAACTGTGGAACACAAGGCCTGTAGTATGGTTGAGTAGTAGCGAAAGCCATCTTCCAGGAGGCCATCATCCCTCCACGCGATCGGAACAAAGGAACCATATATAATCGGGTGGGACATCGTGGCACGAAGCTGGAAGACACCATCCTTCTCACCTGGCGAAGCTGGACTCGGTCCGGTCCAAACACCCCCAACCCGGCACAGACCGGGCAGACCGGGCGCAGGATGCATTCACGATCTCTCGGTCAGGGCCGCACCCCCCCACGCGCGCGCGGAAGATCCGCACCTTGGCATTTTTCATGACCGAATCACCCATCTGGATGGTGTTCCAGCCGGTCACCTCGGTGGATGGAGACGGTCGACGGGGCGGGCTGATGCAAGGCGGTGCAAGTGCGAATGGAACAAGAAAACGCCTGGACACTATTGAACAACTAACTACCTGACACCCGCACCCCAGAGAAAACGGAGATAGTCAGGAGTCAGGAGGGATCAATGACCAATGACCAACGCGATCTTGAAGATCTTTTAGCGATCTTCATGGCATACTGAGGGGTGGAACTGCAGCTGCCAGACGCTTGCCCAGGCGCTTTGCCGTGTGAGAGTTCCTCCCAGAGATGCGAGACCGCTTTGGCATCCTGGAGGTTCAACTGGTCTTTGCACCAGGCGAACGCCAGGAAGTACCTCGGCAGCATGTCTCATAGAAGCTGCTGCTCAAGTTTTGGTAGCCCAAAATGGGCAAGTTCAACTATTAAATCAACTCAGAGGCTTATGGACCCAAACCAACTGCTAAGCTGCTACATGTTTTCAGGGAGAGTCTTGCGGACTCTCCAGGGAACGGGTCCAGACTCTGGAGCCTTTGGGAAGATAAATGAAGAAAGGCTGAGAAAAAAGATGCAAGTTCGACGAAGAGCCTTTGGAGCCTTTGGAGCTTTCGACATGTCAGCCTTTGCCCTCTCTCTCTCTCTCGATGGGCCCGAAGAGCTTTCATGTTGGAACCGTTCACTGGTAGATATATAGACTATGGATTGATAGATTTTAAAAATCATGTAATTATATAGCTAGATGCCCAGAGAGTAGTAGTCACGCATTGCAACACCTATGATTTGTGTGATCTAAGTAATATCTTTATGTACCTTCCTGGCTCACATCGGTAGCCACCCACCGCTTTTGCCCCCAGGCGGCAGCTGCTCAGCTAGCGCGTGGGTGGTGATGAACCAGGGATTGCCGAAGTCGTTTTTGGGGCAGTCGCCGTAGCCACAGTACCTCGTTCCACATCAGACCAGCTCGGTGCCCAAAGGTCTTCGCGCGCGGACCGACTCTCATGACTGGAATGGACTACGACTCTCCTTTATCTATCTGAACTCCGGTGACCAAGGCCAAGGACCCCGAAAAAAAATGGCATCATCACCATCGTCGACATCTCATCGTCGTCGTCATCATCCTCATCCTCATCCTCATCCTCATCCATCAATCATCAATCATCAATCATTCCTTCCCATTTCTCCTTGAGAACAAGGTGGGAAGCCCCGAATCCTGATTTACCTCGGCACGAAGGCTGTCCTGCGAGTCCAAGCTCTGTGTATGTCTATTTCGCAGGTGTCCACAACAGCCGACAACTGGAGAACATGTTTAATCTTCCACTGAGCATCGTATCACCAGGGTAGCGCCCAATCAGCAAACCCACAAAGCCTTGCAGCCGGGTTTAGCGAAAAATTGCGAAAGAGAGAAATGCACGTTGGCTCTGCATGTGTCATGGCCCCATGGCATCTGCATTTATGCTAGGTGGACCTGTGGGCCATATGCTCTAGCTATCACAAGGAAACTGGCCACAATGTGTCTTGCAATGGCTGGTCTTTGCTGCCAGAATAACCCGAATCATCCTGTGCTAGAGGACGTGACCACGGAACACGTCTGGATATACGAGGACTGGTCTTCTATCCGTCCTAGAGGACTGTCCGCTCAGGTGGGGCCTCAAGTGAAGCGGTCTTGGCGCCAGCGAGTCTTGCGCGGCCTCTAAGCGCTCAAAGAAACCACTAATACCACTGTTCTGCTGTGGTGGCGGGGAGCTGCTTTTAATGGTTTGTAAAGTCTCATTTGACCGTGCAATGTATGAAAACCTCAAGCGAAAGCAATCTGTCAATGAGTGTAGTCCTTGGATTCCAAACAGCAGGATGCGCTCTTCGAAAGCTCATGAAAACTCCATTAAGATCCATCAAGCCCCCATGTCTCTGCCGTGACCCTCTCTCGAACCTAACACATCAGAACACCGATCCACCGCAAATCGAGGTCGAATTCTCCAGCCGATCCAGCGATCGAAACTGCTTAGCTGTCCACACCCTGCTCATGGTGCTTTATCATCTGCAATCGTGTCACCATATACCTCAGGAACAATAAGCTACTAGGAACAAGTGCCTTACTAGTAGTAACAAGTGCCTTACTAATAGTAACAAGAAGCTATTTCAAACAATAATGTAATTACCCTTGGACGTCTCTGAGCACATTTTTGGCACCTTTTGGAGGGTGGACGGTCCAAATTCTCGTGTTTGGCCCGTCGAGCAACCGTTGGAGCGATCCACGGCATTCACCTCATAGTATGGTGCCATGGACCTCCGCGTGAGGAATGGCATCAGGACTTGCGGCAGTAAGAGTTTGGGGATGGGGTGAGTCTTCTTATATACTTAAATCAAGTCTTCTTCTACCCTTCTCCGCTTGCACAACAGCGCCCAAACCACGAAAAATTGACCCTTTCTCCTTTGTCATCCTTTTTCACTCTTTGGAGTAACTCCAGCGTAGCGATTTCGTTCCCACCCCAGAGGATTGCGATTGCAAGGAGGCTTTGGAAAACTCGGGAGGCCAACCTTCCCTCTTGCCTTCCCTCTTGCCGCCCACCCTGACGTCCGAGGAACTTCACCAACAATCGCGCCGTGTTCACCAGGCGATAGTCGTGCGGCGGTAGGACTCGATCCTGGAGGAAGTGGCGAAGCACTCGATCGTGGAGTGCCAGGAACATGTCTACAAGCCATCGGATTCTGCAACATGAGCACCAGAGAAGTTCGTTGCAAAGGCTTTGATCCAGGGGAGGGTTATAGTTTGCTAGGTCCTGTCGTGAGCACGTTTCTGGACCACTTACGAAACATTCTTGCTTGCCCCACAGGCACTAGAAAAGCCCTCAGGTAGGGGAAGCCATGAAAAGCCCAAAGAACCCCCTCCCAGAGCAACACGGACGACGACACTCCCTGGAAAAATCATGGAAGTGGATGGCATGGCCTTGGATGACCATGTTCTGAATACCAAGCAGGTGGTTTTCCACTCACTCCACGAAACCCATGATCAATTCCAGGGAGTGTGACCCCCCAAACCACCTTCTGCCACTCCGGCTGACCTCAGGTGCAGCGTCTGGCGCCCCGGCCAGGTAGTTGGCAGCGATCAAGGTCTGAACATCCAGCTCGCAGGGTGCCAGCAGACCTGGCCAGGCGTCGCGGGCGTCACGGGCGTGACACGATGCGCTCGAAGAACGGTCGGAATGGACGGTCCGGTTGGGAGGTCGAACTCACCTGGAAAGCGGAAAATCCCCGCTGTCAGGCTCGTCACTGCGAGTTGAGATACAGTCACTGCCGGCCTTCTGGCCAGTTATTTCCGGTCTTCAGAAGCAGAGGCTCCTCAGCTCAGCAAAGCCGCTCCAAGGCATGAGCTCCCCAAACGTCCCCCAAACTGCCGCATCGTTCAGTAGCCTCCAGTGGAACAGTGCTCTTAGGTCTTCGTGAGTTGTCCAAGTTGTTTACACACGCAACTCACCTCTCAGTCCGCTACTCACCCTCTCACCCCCGCCGTACTCCCCGCCACTGAGAGGCCGAGTTGATGCACTTGGGCCCCGCGAGGCCCTGCTGCCGCCCGGTCATGGCCTGGACGTACTCATACTCCTGGCCCAGGGAGGGAGGGACGTGGAGGAGGTTCTGGGCTCGTTCTCAGGGCTTCAAGGGCTGTTGGCTGGAGCACGGGAACACCAGAAGAGGCCCTCCGAATTCATCAGCTAAAGAGGAACGAAGAACTCCGTTTTGGAATCGTTCGCGGAGCGCCTCTCTCGGCGGAGCCCGCCGGGCAGCCGAGCACGGGCCAGGCGCCGCGGTCTTCTACGGGTCCGCCAAACCCATCGGGAAGCCTGTCGTTGCTGTCGTTGTCCCATCGGTCGTCTCCTGCGAGACGAAGGACTTGGAGACTTTGCGCAGGTTCTTCTCCTCACATCGGCCCCCACGAACGGGTGGACCGCGAGGACGAAAGACGAAGAGTGGGAGGAGCGAAACACCAAGGGAAGGGCCGTCCGGGCTCCAGGTGGGTCGATCGAACCGTGGAAGTGGTTTTTCCCTCATGGTTCGACAGGATCTCGTGCCCAAGTCATCCTCACCCCAAACAAGCAACATCGGGGGTCAAACCTTGCTGACTTAGATTCGCCATCATTCACCTGCCCCCCCCCAAAAAAAAACGCGCGGCGAAACTAAAAAACCAATTGCAAAAGCTTAATAGTCAAGCCACGCTGTAGACCCAGTTGCTGTAGCCCGACTTCGGCCACACTGCGCTCGCGTTCAGGCCCTTCCGGCGTGCGTAGCGCACCCCCGTCACCAGCGCCAAACGCTGCACCTGCCCGCGACCCGGGGGTCGATCCACGGCGCGCCCAGCAGGCGGTGGATGGGTTCGGCACGAGCACCTATGAGTGGGTTGGCATACAGTAGTTCCACCCACCAACTCGTTGCGTTGGGCGCAGATCAACAGGGGCCACTCGGGTTGGCTGGTGCGACGAAGCACCATCCTTAGGGTCTAAATCATGATCTGAGGAGGCGTTCGTCGTTACTTGGTGACTTCCTTCTGAAGCTGCGCCCTGACAAAGTCTGTTTAGGAAAACGACTGAATCGTCAGGGTCTACCAGAAAAGCCTCCAGACCTGAATTCATGGCTTCCCGATGTCGAAAGCCTGTTTGATCCATCCACGAGATCACTGAATTACATGGATCCCATGCCCTGTCGCCCACCCTGTCGCCGGCCCAATGGCCCATGTCCGACCACTCCATCGTCGCACTCCCTCCATCTATGGAGACCCGTGCACCTCTGCCAAGAAGAACGCTTGTCCATAGATCTCCTCCCAAGGCTCGGTCGACCCTTCGTTGTACCAGGTATTCCTCAGCACCAGCGGTCGGGCAGGGAATTCCAAGGGCCCCGACTCAATGGCTCAGGTTCGCCGCTCTCTCTCTCTCTCGAGACGACAGGATGATTTCTGATAGCAAATTGGGCCCCAGGTGATGCAGACTTTCAGTAAAAGAATTCCCACTCAGCCGCCTATCAGATGTCTAGCACAAGCCCTTTCTAAGATGACCTATTGTTTCTTGATGAGCCCATGAAGGACCTCCGCAAATGAAGCAATGAAGGACCTCGGATCTGTGCCAAGAGCTTTGCGAATCGAACGCTCACCGCACGCAGGGCTTGGCTTTCTCCACCGACCGCTGTATGGCCTCCGCCCACAAAGAATAACTTGTTCAGGCCCAAGCGGCACAAAGTTCAGGGCATCATACAAGATTCCAGTGGTGCCGCCTCTCCGAAACCGATGACATCCACCAGGTTCCACGGGTAGGACGAACGATGCTGGCTTGACTTGACATTTACGCTGGGAACGAGAGGTGGACGCGCTTAGAGAGTTCTCGGTTTTGTTTTGAACTAATCTGGATGGAGGGGGTCTACAACTATTCCACCTTTCCTTTCATGTATGCCATGGTGCCCTTTGTGGAAGGTGCAGATTGAGTCAGCCTGCCCCGCGAGCCAAAAGCCAAAAGCCAAACCGGACGGGGTCAGGCGACAGCGACAGCACGGCGTCGCATCGAAGACTTCATGGGTCGCATCTTCATGGATGGCAACCCACCGTGGCATCCGCCGCGTTGATCGGCTCGGCTCAGCTCCGGTTTTCCCGGTCCCTTCGCCTCCACTCAACAGCCGCGTCTGCAACTCCTCCGCATGACCTCCGAACGATGGTCGGAGCGCCGGGGGTCGGAGCGAGCAGGGCTGGGCGAAAGCGGCTTGCTTCTTGGGTGAGACCCGCATGGATCAACATCCCAAATGAACCTGCCAGAGGGAAACGAATAGTTTTTCTGAAACCCCACCTCGACTTTCCTGTTGTGGAATCCGTAGTTACTCACATGGAATTTGAAGAAGACACAAGAAAATTATTCGCGTTTTTTGGGCTCAATTGAGCTCCTCAACATGCAGGAAATTGCAGGAAACTGCATCTTTGCACAAGAGAAGAACTTCGCTTGACGTGAGGCACACATGTTATATATCGTTATATATTCGAAGCTAGTCCCTTCTGTTAAACCTGCTGGCGCTCTTCCACAGCACCTGGTCTAGAGCCCGCTGCATAAACAACAGTTTTGTCGTTGAATATGTTAATGTTTACGTGTGTATATATATATATACACGAGAGAGACCTGAGAGAGACCTATACCCATGTGTCATACTTGATTGACATTGAAACTGCTCCTGGTTCTTACAGTTCTCATGCACAAATGAAGTGCAAAAACCACGTTGAAGAGCCCGTATCCAAGCAAACAGCGCGTCTCCACACGTTGCTTGTGTCCAACCAGGTTGGGGTGGCAACAACCACCTTGCCGTACGTCTTGCGCACAGGCCGGCCGATACGAAGGCCTTGTTTCCAAAAGAAACATAAAGCACCACCATATTAATATATACAGGATTATAAAGGTGCATTTCAATAGAGAGACCCCCAAGCAACGGGTTTGGGTCTATTGAGTCTATTGTCTATTTCCTTCTTCCAGGAGGTTTGAAGAAGCCTCTTCTCAATAAAGGTAGTGATTCATGTGTTTCGGATTGTGACTGGGCGCGGTCATAGCCATGGATAGCCATCGATTTTCCCTGAGACTGTCCAACTTCCAAACCCAATGGTTTGGCCATGTTTGATCATGTTTGTATATGTTTGTTGATCTTGGGCTCGCTTTGCGCCTGGGATCTCGTCGCCGGCATCAAGGATGGCGTTCGCCAGCTCCGCCAAGAAGACCCCGGCCAGTGCCGGGCCGTCGTTCCTGGGAGAGTCAAGGGAGCCGTTCGGAGCCGGCGGTGGCTCTGCCGCCCCGAAGAAGGCGCCCCTCCGACATGAGCGGCCGAAAGACATCCAGCCCTTTACGAGTCGCACCGGTCACCTCCCGGGGCGGATTCGTCGGTTTCACATGGTTTCACTTGTCACTAGGGCTTGGCAAAGGTCAACAACTTCCTTGATGGGCTCGACAGGCTCCACATCAGGAGCCTCACCTCTGAATAACTTGTTGCAAGCGACCGCCACACCCGTCCATCCCGCACGATCCAGACAGTCTCAGTCTCATTGGCATAGATTTTGTAAACCCACCTCCTGCAAAAAGGATAACAAAGTGGACATGCCAAGTCCTGGCCAGAATGACACCGTCATGGAATCTCATGGGTCCCCTGGTCTGGTAAGTAAGAACTGAAAACTTGTTCCATACCTCCTCGATCCTGGCCACTTTCTGCACAACTGTCGCAACTCCCACCCCCTCCCTGGTCCCCTCAGGCCGGCGGGTCCGAGTGGCTGTGGGCGGCCCCACGGCTTGTTATAAACAGAGCCGTTCACAAAATACTTGGGCTCCCCCATCTTGGCGCACCAGCCAGGCTTGTCCTCGAATTCGGGGAACAGCGGCAACAGCGATGGTTGGGCATGTTGCCATAATTTGGGCTACCGTAGTTATGATGATCAACGGTCCGAGATACTCAGAGTGTCGGGATCACGTTCAAAGCTAAAATTTGATTGATCCTAGGATATACCGGAGTTTGGTTCAAGTCATGACCTGCCCAACTGCCACAGCTTCGTGCCGCACATTTTTGGGGAACGAACCGGTGCCAAAACTCATCCGACCAAGCCCCGAAAAGGCTCCACCAACGCAGTCGCTGCCAGCTTCATAATGCATTTAGGGATTGTAAGCATGCATGCTACTGAGGCCAAGACCCGATGAATACTTTAATATATGGTCGTGACAGTGACACTGGCTTCGGACATCCGAGGATCGTGTGAACTGTCGTCTCATGTCTTGTCTGATCTTGTTTGAGGCTTCCCACCCAGAAACTGGGTCATCTCCCTCTGTCATGCTTCCATCCACCCTCCTCCACCCCCGCTCCCATCTGTCCTCATACCAGGGAGGGCACAAAGTGTTGGGATCCCATTGGTCCCAAAGCCGCGGCAAGAGCTCGACGTAGTTCACCAGTTGTCGCCGGATCGCCGAGCTCTGATTCCCTCGGTGCCAGCCCGGCCGGTCGCACGACGCGGCCGGGCGACCGGAAAGAGCTGCGCGGTGGGCTGGGTTTGAAGCCTTGAGGTTTAAAGTACATCTCCAACAGCAAAACACCATGGGCACACTCATCCAAATTGAAACAAAGCACATCCTACATTTCTTCACATACCCATTCCTGATACATAGACTGCATGGGCAGTGTTTCTAGACGACTTCAGTCCAGCCCAGGCGACGTAGTGTTTGATCCCCACTGAACATTCACTCTCCACATGTGTCCACACATGTGGACAACGCGGTTTCGTTGCGGTCTTGCTGATCACTGCAACTGGGTCTTTCACCAGCCGGGGGACGTGAGAAATGGTCACCACATGGTTGAGATCCGAAGGTGTTTGTTTCTTAGACTTTGGCACGGCGGTTATCCTGCTTCTCCCACGAGCATTGCTGCATTTCTCACAATGCACTTGCATACATGAGGGAGAAAAGAGAACTGTCATGGGTCAATAGCCCTTCTACCGGGTCACTTATGATGAACTTACAGTACAACTTTCCATCAGCACTAGCTATAGAACCTGAATTATCCCCAAACGTCTTATGAATCCTAATATCTATGGACTGGCTATACATCTGCTTGCATATGCTTGTTGTTCTGGCTTTGTGTATAGTTTGGGCTCTGGATGATCTTTCAACCCCCCATGTCCATGGATCGTTATCACCTCTGCAGGCCTGAAGGGTTGAACTATGGTAACTATGATCTAACCATCTACATGATAACCCTCTCCCTCAAACAATCATGCCACAAGGCCCCGATGTCGGAGGACCATGTTCCTCTACAAACAGGGGGTGAACTCCACTTCCATGTTTGTTGGAGGGAGGGTAAGTACTCAATGAAATGTTCAGGCTCTGGCCAATGGTGTTGGGCCAAACTTGATCCTTTTCGTTTCACGGTCTCAACCGGCTCTTTCAGCTGGACATGGACAGACACAAAGAACATCCGGAGTCACAACTGATGCATCTGGTGGCATTGGCACTGAAAATCCGTGGCTGATGTGTGATTCATTGAGTAAACTGGACCGTTCTTCGTTCGTCGGGGCCCCTCAAAACAAGGTCAGGCGGCGCATGACCGAAGCGAAGACCTGATTGGGTGCAGTGGTCAGGGATCGGAGCAGCGTGCCCATGGTCATCGCCGCATCGCGCTGCCACATGTAGTAGTAGTCATTGCTATGATTCGAGGACACCTGTCAGGTCGATGGTCTCATCTTCGAGGTCGGGTCCTACCCTAGGACGCTGTAGTAGCTGATGGAGTGGTAGCGAAAAATGCGCAATGCATCCCACAGAGTTCATCCAAACTGCAGGTGTCACGGTGTCACCCTCCCGGCGGCATCGAGGTTGGGATGTCGCCCTTTTCTGAGTGCTTTAGCCTAGCTTCTTCAGTTTTTAGGGTCACACGCTCTTGTTTCAGGAGCTCTTAGCGGACCTCTCAGGAAAAAAAACAACTACTGCATCCTACTGTCAATTATCTATACTTGGTGCCCGCCCGTTTCTATTCTATCTCATTAAGAGGCTAGCCCAGAGAAAACTTTTGCGCTTTGGAATCAGACATGAATTCCTCTAGATTTTCAGGCCTAGATTGCAAGTTACGGGCGGGAAAAACAAAACATAATTGTCATCAGAATACCAACAGTTCAATGAACATGGTGTTGGCTGGGGACTTGTTGCCATCGGAGGTCCCAGGCTAGAACAAGACGATGGCTGCTTGAACATGAAAGTGTCCAGACATGGTCACTCTGAGGCCCTGCTTCACACACCAGTCGTGTCAACGAAGGTGGCCTACACTCTCTGACACCATCCATAGTTACGTGGACTTCGCCGCCTGTTGGTGCAGGAGTTCATGGTACATCGGGTCTATGCCATCCAGAACCATGATTCAGGGAGTGTACCGTGTACCTCTCATGCTCACCTAGCTTGGTGTATTTTCATCCGACCTCCGCCCACCGGGACCTCCCCCGTTCCAGTCGGTTCGCCCCGAGGATCCTACCGTCGGTGGGGTTCGTGCGGGTTCCCCACCATCCGGTTCCCACGTGCTGCACGTGCTGCACGTGCCTTCGAGGGTGCAGCAACAATGGTGCCATTCGGGAACATGTTGTTGGCCATGTTTGCCGCAATGCATCCCACCTACCACTGGGCAAGCCGGAGGTTGGTGGAATCTTGGGAGCCTTTTGGGGAAGCCTCTCCTTGGCATTCTGTGCATGGGACACGCTGTCGTCTACTTCAGCTTCCAGTCAGCGTCTAATCGTTTCATCTCATTCTTCGTCGTTGGCTAGCATCTACCAAGGACAGCTCGAGAGGCGTAAAAGCATCGCTCCTGTCCCTCACCGGTGCGAGGTACATGCTTCCTGCCAAAGACCGATGCAAAGGGTTTTCTCAGTTCTCCAGATAGACATCTCATCTGCCCGAACTCAACTAACTCCGCGCAGCCTTGGAAAGTCCACCTGCATTCCTTAGCACCCACACCCATCCCTCCATTTTCCACTCCAACTTCTTCCGACACTGCACCTCCGCACACCCAGATCCCTCCCTCCCCATGTTTCTCTTGCACCTCCTGCGCCGTGTAGGGTGCCCCGTGGGCCGCGAGGTAGTCAAGCCGGCCATCCGAGAGCTCACCCGCCAGCTCAGCCGTGAGGGAGGACGCGCGCGAGCGCCGTAGCCGAACACCATGGCTGAGCCGGCAGCGCGGGAGGCGGGAGCGGCAGCGGGAGCGGGGGTGGTCGCTAGGGTGAGGAAGGCGACTCTCGGGTTGAGATGACCTTTGCGCAGGAGAGAAACCCGAAATGTTCCAAAGGGAGAGAGAGGAACCCTTTTTGGAGCGGAGCGACGGCCGGTGACCATTTTGTGGAAAACCTTCAGAATGTGACCGGGGTGCCTCAAGTGCTCTGTGATACCTGCTTAAACTGTTAGGTCGGTGACCAAGCGCCAATCAGTGTGGCAAGCTGTGCTTGTGCAAGTCTGCGCAATGCTTTGCAAAAGGAAACTCCCACTCCCGGCCACCCCCCCTTCTGGCACATGACAGTTGATGGAAGACAATAGAAGACATCTGCTAGTGCAATGGCAACACGACCCCCCTAAATTTATGGCCTATGGATGCCTATGGCCTAATAATGGCTTCACCGGACGTGTTCCAAACGCAAGGTGTGCACATATCCATATACAGTATACCGTATACATTTCAATGCTGACCATCAACAAGTGCCTCCTCCCACCCTCCCACCCGCCACACCTGTCGTACTGCAAGAGCGCGGTGGCATCACAGCTCTCCTGCAGAGTGGCGCTTGGCAGCCCTACCAGCAGCAACACCACGCCATAAGCAGCACGCCCGCCACAGGCGCTCCGGCCCGGCATGGGAGGCAACGACAAAGCCAAGGGGGAGTAGCGCCCGACTGAAGCCGAAGTTGGTGCAAGTTTAACCAGTTGAGATAGTTGAGTGGAGGTCATCGCCACCAGGGTGGAGGCCATCGCCAGTAAGTTAGTTAGAGCAGTATAGAAACAGGTGGTGCACTGACCTTCCAAAATCGACCACCTCCAGGACTCCAATCTCAAGTTGGAGAAAGCACCGGACGGTTTCGCGGGAGCCTCCAGGTCCATGCGGTTGCCACCGTTACCGTGTACGTCCTTCACCGTCCAAGAACCGGCCGGGCTTCGGGTCCCTGGAATCCACCACTCTTAGCTCATCTTCTCAAGAAAAAGAACTGAAAGCGCTTTTTCCGCCTTTTTTTTGGGCTTAACTTTATACTCACAATTAATAAAACGTATCCAAATAAGTACGACGGCATCTGGCCGAGAATCTGGCCGGCCCACCCAGCTTTGGGGCAAAGGATGGTTCCGCGCCTGTGGACTGGCCCACCTGGCCCTGGGGGCCAACGGGGGCAGGAGGTGTGGTGTCCTCGCAACCCGCGGCCCATGCCCCCATGCTTGGCAGGCCTCCTTTTTCGACTCCTCCCCATCGGGCTGTACAAACAGCTGCGCTCAGCGTAGCGCTGAGCGCCCGCGGTCGACCGGGGGTCCGCGGGCGTAGTCGGGCGCAGACGTGGGGAGAGAGACAGAGAGAGGTGCAGGGCGACGACTCAGACGACTCAGAGGCCCCACCTAAAGATGAAGCTCCACCAGCTCCGCTATTTGGAGCATTCCCATACATTCACAAGCACCAACAACCCATCTGAGACATGCCTGACATCAAAGAAATCAAAACCTACAATAATTGGTTCCACAATAGCTCTTGAGGCGCCTCCATGTGTGCGGCGGGCGCCTGATTTTTGTCGGTGCCTTCCATTCCGGTGGAGGCTTCCCATGCTTCCGGTGAAACGGCCGCCATCATCGGTCCGCGGGCGTGTCCCGCCAGGCTGCCAGCCAGTGGCACTCGGCCGATTCGATCTCCTGAATTGGTGCAGCGGTGGGGCACGGGGGGAAGGAGAAGGGGGCGAAAGTATGTGGACAAGGCTTGAAGACCATAAAAAGGAGTACAATAATATGTTACTCACATGGCGTTACACACCAGACTCCGCGTAGGAACTCGACCCTAAAATATCCTAAAAGCCATTGGTTGTATATAGACTATATAGAGCACTTCTTTCATACTCTTCGAGGAGGACAGCCCAGTCAGACGCATTGCAGGTGAAGGTTGCCAGATTACAACATGTCATCTCTCATTGCAGATGCAACTAGTCTAACTAGTCACCTGGGGCAGTTTCAAGACTTCCCCCTCTGAACACCACAATTGCTTGTAACGCTTGGAACGGCGTCAACGGCCGACTGACCGTTCGGACCTGAACATGCCCGCCCGCGCGGATGACCTGGGATTGGACCATACTTCTTGACACTCGCTAAGATTCTATCTTGGATGACCATCATTTTTCTTAGGGTTTTCCCACTTCCTATGATCATCTTCAGGGAGTCTCACCATCCAACCGTCTCGCCCCCCGCTTTGCTCCTTCCGTGGCAGCGGCCGCCCCGAGGAGAGCTGCTGCGCACGGCTGGGGACCAACGGCACGGGGAAGTGCCAGGCCGACGAATCCTCTGAGACCTGCCAAATCTCGGAGGTCCGCTCCTCTAATGGAAGGGTAGACTTCTTTGATTCAATTCAAGGTAGCTCCTCCAAAACATGCATGGTAAGATGAAAATGCATGAAAACCTCTTCATAAATGGGATTTGAAAGTTGAACTAGCATCAACCATCTACATGAAGACCCCTCAAATTGCACGCCGAAACCGGCGCACGCCATGCTCCGCGCCTGTGCTTGCATGGAGTACATGTCCGGAGGCGTCAATGTGACCTTGCAATTCCTCAGGCCCCAACGGGTGACACAACAACTTATGGGGGCTTCAATCTGAGACGCCTCATGATGCTTCTGATTTTGCCATGCCCCCATGGCCCGAGCGAACTCGTTTCCCACGGGCGTCGCTGTCATGTCCCGTCGCTGTCATGTCCCGAGGCGTCGATCTGAGAACATCACGGGAGGTGAAGAATAGGCGACGTGCGTCGGTCAAGCCTTTAATGACTGACACCCACATCAGTCGGATTGAGGGTGTGGGGGTGTCTGTTGATGCCAGGCTTGCAGGACCGTTGTGGGGCTCTGCGAGTTTCCAGAGCTTACGTGCTGCTGAGGCCCCCCAGAAAACATGTTCCATTGAATCCTTTGAATGAGAGTGGCGTCTTCTCATTAATGATGGGAGGTGCATCGCAAACTCGCGTGCGAAGCTTCCCAAACTCATCACTTTACAGTAGTTTCAGAGGAGATGGCGCAAACCCCAAAATGTCCCTTAGATAGGGGTCCATATAAACCACCTTTTGAGGATTGTGCAATCCACTCTGAAAACACTGTATATAAAGCCACCCCAGCCCTGACACCTGTCCCAACCTTTCCCACCCTCTAGGCCCGAGCAGCTCAACGTCGGAGGTTTCAGACCAAATGCTGACCCTCGTCATGTGCCGGCCCTGCCATTTCAGAAAGGCTCGGTGGCCTTGGAGAGCTTGGCAGCCCCGGGGGTGGCGGGTTGCCAAGGGCAAAGCTCGTGGGTGTCAAATGTTGTAACCACGATCGTTTTACGGTTTACCTGTCAAGACTTCAGGTATAGTGGTTTCAGAGTATATAGATGGCACAAAAACCTCAAAAGGTGGTTCATATGGACCCCCAATATAAGAGACATTTGGGGGGTTGTGCCAGGGCTCCGGGTTTTTGGTTCCCGGATTGGTGTTTTCGGTTCCCGCGG